CCGCGGACGTGTCGCGGACAAAAGCTCGGGATCCCCAGACCCGAAAACGCGACGCATCGCCAGCCTCTCCCGTCCAACGCAGTGTCGGAGAAGTCTCGGGCAAGGAGACACGGGGCCAGAGGTTGAGCTGATGCGCAGCGTATCGGACTGCAAACGGCCACAGAAAATGGGGGGCAGCCGCATGGCTCAAGGAGGTACGAGCGACCTCCATGACCAGACCAATGCGGCGCTCAGCAACCCCATTCTGCTGTGGAGAGGCCGGAAGCGTGTACGACTGCTCAATGCCCTCCTGCTGACAGAAGGCCTCCAAGAGGCCAGAGGTAAACTCCCCACCTCTGTCAGAGTGCAGACGCAGGACAGGGAAGTCGGAGCGGAAACGCTCACTGAGCTGGAGACGAGATCTGCGGATCCAGGGGATCAATACATCAGGGACGTCACCCTTGGCGCGCAAGGGGAAGACCGTGGTGAAGCGCGAGAAGTCGTCAACAACAATCAGGAAGTACCTCTCCTGACCCTGGCCACGGACGCGGGCTGGGCCCCACACGTCCAAGTGGAGCGTCTGCAAAGGAGCAGTCGTCGGGGGAAAGGAGGAGGAGTGAGGAGCGGCGCGCTGCCGTCCCTCGACACAGGGAATACAGGGAGGAGCAGGCGAGTCTGGAAGGGGAGGGAGTACCCTGGGAAGACCAGCAACAAGGTCCCGTTTGTGCATGGCCCGAAGGCGCTGCACAGACGGGTGACCAAGGCGGTGGTGCCAAAGGACAGTCTCATGCGCCAGAGAGCGACACGAGCAGGGGGCGGACAGCTGACCTGACGCAGACGCAGACGCGGACGCAGCTACCTGAGGGGACTCAGTGGTCAGTGTGTAAAGGTCCGACCCCGGCTCCCGAGTGAAGGTAGCCAGGTGGCGACCCGTCCGAGCACACGTGCAGTGTGTCACGCGCTCGTAGGCAGGGGTGAACTGGTGAACACCCCCGTCCTGGAGCGCACTACCTGCCACCAAGTTCGTAGAGAACGAGGGGAGGTAGAGACCTGACAGCGTGCCGGACGGGACCGCCGGACAAGGAAGGACAGTGGAGGAGGTCGCAATGACCGGACCCCCAGAGGGGTCAGCAAGGGAGACAGCAACTGGCCGAGCGAGTGGCTCAAGGACAGTGCGGTCACGAAAGAAGGAGCGAGAAGCACCTGAGTCCAGTGTGAAGGTGTGTAGTGCTGCAGTCGACTCAGTACCAGGGGGCACGGACGCACGAGCACCTAGGGCTGCAGCCTCACCAGGACCTGTGGGAGCAGACGCACTAGCACCTAGAGCGGCAGCCGGACTGGCCTGAATGCCCGGGTCAGGCGGAACACGCAAGTACTGAGTACCCTCTCCACTAATAGACATCGCATACATGGCAGTGAGAATAGCATCAAAGTCTAAAGCCCAAATATCAACACCCCTCTTTTCCAGATCAGCCCAGCGCGGCAGCTCAGTGGCAGCAGGAAACTGAGTGCGCCACGCGTCGTTAAGGCGCGCGAAGCAGCGCTGCGTGGGGTGCGGCCTCCCACACTGCTGGCCGCTGCGGTCACCTGTGCGAATGACGTACGTGCAGGTAAAGCTACGCTGCGCATACCACTCACGGGCGGCCTGAAGCGTCGGGGCGGGCTGCTGACTCTGCCCTCCGCCAGTGCCTCCACGACCACCACCCCCACCGCCGCCGCCCCGGCCACCTCCACCCCTGCCGCCGCCACGACCACCTCCGCCTCCGCTGCCGCCTCCACCACCACTCCCACCGCTGCTGTCTCCTCCCCCACTGCCGCCACTAGTCTCCCCAGCCGCGCCTCCACTCCCACCGCCTCCACCCCCACCTCCTCCGCCGCCACCCCCACCCCTGCCCCCCTTGTTCCTGCGGCGCCCGCTCGAAGCAGACGCAGTCCCGACCTTCTCAGCACCAAGAAGGTCGACAGCAGCAGCAGAGGCGACAGAGGGGAGGAGGGGGGAAGGGGAACACCCCTCAAAGAACGGGGTGCGGGGGTCGCCACGAGAGGTGCCTACAGCGACGATGCTCGCCTCAGCTGCAAGCAGTTCCTTCTCGAGGAGGGCAACAGTGAGCTCAGTGGGGGAGCGAGAGAGGAAGTGGTCCCTGACTGCGCGCAGAGAGTCAGGGAGGCGGGTGACGATGTGGTAGAGAGTGATCCAGAGCGGGGGGGGGTTGCTAGTGAGAAACTCGGCAGGCATAGCAGCGCGAAAGCGGGCCTCACTAGTCTTAAGGTGGGTGATGAGGTCTGCGACAGTGTGAAAGGAGGCTAGGTCGGGGAACAGGTAGGGGAGAGTGAGGCGGCCTAGCGTGGCAGAAGCGGACACTCCAGCTTCGCGTTCAGTGTGAACCAGCGGCCGGCAATGCAGAACAGGCCAGAAGTTGCCTGGAAGGAGACCGAGGGGGTCCAGCCTTGGCACTGGCTGAAGGGAATTTCGAGGAACAGGGATTTCCGTGGCGGGCGGTAGGAGTTGCGGGGGCGAGACCAGGAAGTGGAGATGGAGGAAGGAGAGTAAGAATGGGGGGTGGTTGCGGGAGTAGACCAGGAGTAGGGGTTGGCTGAAGGGGTAGGGATGAGTGAAAATTGCGGGTTCTGGTGGGAAGTGGAGGTGGAGAGGGAGGAATGTGTGTGGAAGGAGGAAGTATGGGGTGAGGCGATGGGCAGGGAGGAGGATGAGGAGGAGGAAGATGGGAGGGTGGCAAAAGCAGGGGGTGTGGTGTAAGTGGCGCCAGCAGTTAAGCCGCCAGGGGGAGGAACATGAGGAGGAAGAGCAGGAAGAAGAGGAAGAAGAGGAAGAAGTGGAACAGGAGGAAGTGAACCTGCAATTGGAAACTGCAAGGAAGGTGTTGATAACCACGACTGCTGAACACTGTGAGGAGTAGCGGGCAACTACAGCGGTGTAGAGGTCCTTAGCAGTCTTGCACTGGCCGAAGTGCTCGCGCTCGTCTAGCGGCAGGGAGTTGCGAATAGCAAAGCGAGCGTGCGCATCACGGGTCTGCCACTGGGAACGCAGAGTGCTGTCAGCAGACGAGTCAGGGGCAGTGGCATGGCCTAGGGCGTGGTCGTACAGTGAGATATCTTCCTTGGCAGTGAGCTGTAGGAACAGGTGCAGGTCATCTAGCCAGGTTTCGAACTTCACTGGACGGCCCTCGGCATCGAAAGCTAGAACTGGCGGACTAGCCATAGTGACAGTAGCAGTAGCAGTAGTAGCAGTAGTAACAGTAGTAGTAGGAATCAGGCCGCTGGAAAGGTGTGCGGAGGGTCAACGGGGCCGGCGGGGCCGCTAGGCAAGGCGCGGGCGGGGTCGACTGTCCGTAGTGGCACACGAGCGGCAGTAGTAGGTAGCGTGGCAGCAGGAGCTGCAACGGTGCACTGGTGGCAGCTGCAGTGGCAGCAGTGTGCGCGGTAGGTAGAAAATAAACAACAGTGAGAGCGAGTGCCTCGCGGGCGGCGGCTGCAGAAGCACACGGGCGGCAGTGGCACACGGGGAACAGCAGCGTAGGAGCAGCGACGGCGCACGGGCAGCGGCGGCGCACAGGCAGCGGCGGCGCTCGGGAGGCAGCGGTGCGCAAGCAGCAGCGGAAGCAGCGGCGTACGAGCGGCTGCGGGCAGCGGGGCGTGCGCGAGCAGGCGACGGGCGGCTGCGGGGCGTGCGCGAGCAGGCGACGGGCGGCTGCGGGCGGGCGGCCGCTGCGACAGCGGGCTGCGGGCCTGCGGGACGTGCGCGAGCAGGCGACGGGCGGCTGCGGGGCGTGCGCGAGCAGGCGACGGGCGGCTGCGGGGCGTGCGCGAGCAGGCGACGGGCGGCTGCGGGGCGTGCGCGAGTAGGCGACGGGCCGCGCGCGAGGGAAATAAGGCGCGCGCGGGCAGCAGGCGGGGCGCACGTATGAAAACGACCGCGCGCGAGCGGCTAAGGGGCGGCGCGACGGGGCCTTAAGGGGCGGGTCGCGGGTCGCGGGAGGTAGGGGCCGTAAAAAAAAAATTCGAGGCGCCCTAGGTAGGTAGGTAGGTAGGTAGGGAACGGTGGGCCCTTAAAAAAAACGGTCCTAGCGAAGGACCTGCTCTGAAACCATGTCAGAATGAACGGACAGGAATGATGAACTAACAAGGATTGTGAGTACAAATATGAAACCCTAATGTTGTGACCCCCCTATAGGCTAACCCACTACAGCCTACACAAATACAACATGTATAATGTTTGACAACATCTTCATCACACGCAACACCCACGCCGCCCGGGCAGGTGGGGCACAGGAGCTGGCCGACGACGGAGTTCCGCGATCTGACATCGCCGACTTGTGCCACTGGGCGCTCGACAAACTTGCGAACAGCTACATCACGACCATCCCGAAGGCGGCGGTGTTAAGAAAGGCCGGCTACACGGGCAAGCGCGGCGACTACCACCTCGGCCGCAGCTTGGTGACGCCCGACCCCAAGGTGGTGGCCCTCATCGCCCAGCATATCTTTCTCTGGGCTGAAGCGGAACTGGAAAAGGTGAGCATTTCTGACGGTTGAGAGGCCGACTTCCCGCCGACCATTTCCACGCCGACATTCCACCGCCTGTTGATTGTGTTGTGTATGTGTTCGACACGCAGGCGAAAAGGTGCGCCACCGCGAGCGAGCCCAACACGGCCGGGGTGCACTTCCTGCAATCGCTCATCGAGTTCGGCCGCCGAATCGTCGCCGAGGATCTGGCGTGCATGCTGATGCGCGAACCGTGGCATCCGTACGTCCAGAGTTCCAAGCTCTGCCGCGACCCCGACTTTCAGAAATGGGCCAAGGACGTCAACCGGGTGGACCTCGAGACCATCGCCACGCGCGGTACTCCGACCGAGAACACCCAAGAGGTACGGCGTGCACGTTCCGGCGACCAGTAAAACTAGTCGTCCTTCTACATTTGCTGACGGATTGTCGACCATATTCCCCTTGGATCGCAGGAATTCAGCGCGCGGGTCGACGCCTTCCATCAGGTCGACCAGCTCACCATGATGCTGCACCGCCAAAGAGAAGATGCCGCGATCGAGAAGCTTGGGATGCAGAAGCAGCCGGAGGAGAAGGACGCGGAGATCGCGAGGTTGATGCAGGCTCTCAAGCTGGCCGAGGCACGGCCGACTGCGCCGGCAGCGCCGACCACGAGGCCGATGACCGCCGACGAAAAGGCAGCGGTCGTCAAGATCGAGAAGGAACAGGACGACGACCTGACGTACGAGGTGAACGTCGTCCATCCCTGGCGCACGTCCAAGACGGTCGAGGCTGCCTGGCGCTGGTGGAACTACCCGTCCAACTTCGACTCGCGTCCCTTGCGCGAACGCTACGAGGAGAAACGATTCCTCGTCAGACACACGCGCATGATCTGCAAGGTCGAAAAGGCCGACAAGCCCGCGGCCTCGCCGAAGTCGGCGAAGAAATCTCGTGGCCGACAACCGTCGACCGACGAAAGTCCCACGACCCCGGAGGGTGAGACGGGGAAGAACGATGCGCTGCAGAACTGCACTCGCCGGATGCGGCGGATCATGGAGGCCGTGCACAACTTGCGGCGGAGCGAAAATGACGCTGACACCGCCGCCGTGGTCAAATTACTCGACCACCTGGGGCGGGCGGGTCTTTCTACTTTCAGCGACGCTCTTTTGGTCCTCCGTGCAACCGCGCCCATCAAGGCCCCCACCACAGCCGACGGCAAGTCGACCGGCATCAAGGGTCTGCACAAGCAGCAGCACAGGAAGCTGACCGTTGCGTGGGGCGTCGTCTCGGCGGGCTATGCGGAGCCTGATTGGGGAAAGAAGATCTTTGGCGACTTGTGGGAGGAGCAGGCCACGAAGGTCGGCTCGGAGGCCGAGGCGACCGCGGGAGCGACGGCGGAGTTTTCCGCCGCCGGGAAACGCAAGAGGGCGGGCTGAGGGAAGTGCGTCGGAACCCTACACTTGTGGGGTGGGCTGATGGGGGTGCGGCTGAGGGTGGACAGATGGTGGTCGGCTGAGGGTGGGCTGAGGGCGGGCTGTGTGCGGGCTGTGGGTGGGTTTATGGCGGCCTATGGGTGGCCTTAGGGCGGGCTGTGGGTGGGCTTATGGCGGGCTGTGGGTGGCCTAAGGGCGGGCTGTGGGTGGGCTTTTTAGCTAGGGTGTCCGACTTGTGCTTGTGAAACCGCATGTTTTTCTCTCAACATTAGCCAATGAATTGCCGACTAGTGTGACTCGTGCTGTCGGTACCTGTACATGCATCAAGCCGACTCATCAAACCGACTTCACAAAACAACCAGCTATCATGTTCACAGTCTCTAAACATTGTTTGGCAACACATAACAACACAACAACGCGCAAACGCGGCCCTAAACTAACTCAGAGAGCCTGGTAGGTCGTCGGCGGAAAAGCCAGCGTTGTGTGCTCCATCGCCGACCGTGACAAGTGCAGTCGGGAAAGCATTCGTCGACCTATGCGTCCACGACCTGCTTCCCTTTGTGCTGGCCCCTCGCCCCCCTGTCCCGAACGATAATCCTCATTGCGGGGTCGACAGGCAAGGCGACGCCGCGAGCCCTGAGCTTCGGGCCTCCGACATAGCACTCCCCCCAGAAGGCGAGGTTCTCGATCATGACACGGGCGATAAGCTCGTCGTGCTCGCGCTCCTCTCCGCCCTCAGGCAGCGACCTCACCACAGCCGCCTGCAGGTCCTTCGTCACCGTTTCGGCGACCTCCTCTTCGCCGACCTCCCGAGCGGACGCCTGCTGAAGCACCGCCTCGATGACGCTCTTGCACTGACTCGCGAACGCAGCGGACGCTCCGCGGACGGTGGCTGCTGCCCCCCCTTCGCCTGCCGCTTGTTCCGGCGTGGCATTGGTCTCCGAAAAGCACCACACCGCGCACGCAGTCCCGGCGAGGATGGCCGACAACCGCTCCGACGTGACGCCCGGGATGGGCGAGACTTTCGCGACCACAGGTGCGTAGGCGGCACACATCGCCGCGCGCGCGATCATGTCGCTCGCCATCTTGTTCTTGGCGGCCTTCTCGGGATCGGTCGACTCCGGCAGGTCGAGGAACCACAGCGCCGGACCAAGAGCTGCGCGGCCCTCCTTGGTTATCCTGTTGTACTTGTTGACGACCTCTTGGAACCTGCGAAACAAAGCAACGCAGCACGCAAATCGTCACCGACCGACCCCCGCAAACCGACCGAAACGAGCATATAATCGACCATTCGCCAAGCGTACCTGTCGCGGAAGACGTTTGCGCCACGGCTCCACATGATCATCCACATGCCGCACGGAATCAAGCGCGCCACCTCCCAGTCCGCCTTATACCGCTCCATCACTTTCGCCTCGACCCCAGCGAACTCGGCGAGAATGACCTCGCTCACGTAGCCGTCGAACGATGAAACGGCGACGGCGATGCAGTAGGCTGCCTCGGTCTTGTCGTTCGACCGGCAGACGTAACGGCTCTTCTTGCCAAACTTCATCTCCGACGTGGCCAGCCCCGTCTTTTCGTCAACTCGGACGCCTGAACCCTTCCGACCCTTCGTCTCCGACGTGGCCGCTTTAGCCGTCCCGGCCTTGCCCTTGCCCTTGCACTTATGCTTCCCGTCGCCGACCTCACCGGTTTTGGCCGGGGGGGATTTGGCGCCAGTCGCGCTGGGGCCCACCGTAGGTGCGGACGAGGCGGCCGGTGTATCCCTTTGCGCTTCCGCAGTCGGGGCTGCTTCTTCCACTTTATCCTTAAGGGCCTCGACCTCAGGGTCCAGCATCACGATAGAGGCGGGGATTGCGGGGTCCACCCCGCCGGCCTCTTCCATCAGTCCCCAAAGAGCCGCCTCCTCCGTTGTGGTGACGCTCGCCCCTGCAGTCGCTGCCGTGGCGTTCCCTGTCTCTGCTCCTGGGTCGACCGCCTGGTTCCTAGCCGCCGACGGAGGAACTTCTGGGCCACTCTGATCCTCGAGCCATTTCAGATACTCCTCCCACGTTCCCTTCCTGTTGATTAGAGCCTCGACCGCTGGTGAAGCCGCGGGCGCGGGTATCGCTTCCACGCCGACCATACCGGCCTTCTGACCGGGTAAGCTGGCCGCAGTGTCAGTCACCGTGGTGGGCGGAGGCGGGTTCGGCAGCGACACATTCGTCTCAACTCCGCCGGGCGTCCCGTGGGCAGTACCCGCTCGGTGAGGCGCTGGTGCCGACGCCGACACAATCATCGGTGTGGCAGCCTCGACCACGCCGCTGGGTGGGACTCCTGTGGCTCGCTGCACGGGGCGGAAAGGCTCGTCGGCCAGCAGAGCCGCCGTGCCACCCGGGCGCGCGCTACCCGCCGGACTCGTCGAGGGGTGAGGATGCTGGCCCGCAGCGGGCTGCCCTCCCTGCTGGCCGACCACCGCCGCCAACCGCAGGAGGTCGTCGGCCAGCTGCGCCCTGACCGCACCAGGTCGCGCGTCTGGAGCAGTCGCCGTGCTCGTCGAGGGGGGAGGATGCTGGCCCGCAGCGGACGGCCCTCCCTGCTTGCGTACAACCGCGGCGGACCGCAGGAGGTCGTCGGCCAGCCCGGCACCCGGTCGGGCGTCTTGACCCGTCGCCGAGCTCGTCGAGGGGTGAGGATGCGGGCCTGCAGCGGACTGCCCTCCCTGCAGGCGTACAACCGCGGCGGACCGCAGGAGGTCGTCGGCCAGCCGGGCACCCGGTCGCTCGTCTTGAGCCGTCGCCGTGCTCGTCGAGGGGTGAGGATGCTGGCCCGCAGCGGCCTGCCCTCCCTGCTGGCCGACCACCGCTGCGGGCGCCAGAGCCAGCTGCACTGTGTCGCCGGTCGGTCTCGCAGTCGCCGTACCCGTCGAGGGTTGAACATGCTGGCGCGCAACGGCCTGCCCGCCCTGCTGGCCTTCCACCGCTGCTATGTGCAGGAGCTCCCCGGCCATCTGCGTCGTGCCGCCGCTCGGTGGAGCGCCATGTGCATTCGCCGGACTGGCCTCGGGCAGTGGCTGCCCGCCCGGCATCCCGACCACGGATGCCCCTCCCACGACACCGCCCACCAGATGCGTCTGGTCGCCGCTCGGTAGCGTGTCGTGTACGCTCGGCGGAGTGGTCACGGCCAAACTCTGCTGGTCCCCACGGGCTGCCCACCCTGCTTCCCGACCACCGGAGCTGGATCCTGGAGCCCGTCGTCGACCTGTCGAAAATCGGCGCTCGGACACGCACCAAGACCCTCTTTCAGCAAGTCGTTGACGCCGGGAATACGAACATATGGGGCGGCAGGAGGTTCCACGGCCGAACCGCGCTTCGCCGCTGGTCCTCTGCTTCGCTTAATGCCGCTGGTCTGCTCGCCGGTCAGGGATTTTTCGTCGGCGACCCTTTTCCCGGCGTGCCTTGGCGGCGGCCCATGCTCCTCGGCGGTTGAGCGACCGCCGTGCATCGCCGACGCGAGAGCATTTGGGAGGAGGCTAAACCCGGCGGCTCCAAGCCCCTGTTGGGTCACGGAGGTGACCGCCTTCACCACGACCTCCCTAAGCTCTTCGGCGACTTTCGCACTCACGGCCGCGGCGATCGCCTTCGCCTCGCTCTGCATGACGGCCTTGACCTCGGCAGACACGACCGTCTTGATCTTCACTCCCAGCGCATCTGCCACCCCTCGCAGCAACAGGACGTCGTCTTCATGTCGCCTATTGTTCAAGGCACCGGTTGCCAGGTTCAAGGCATTTACGGTGGGCAGCCACTTGTCGTTTATGTGCTCTATGATGGAGTTGCGGTTTCTGCACGCCTCCTCCACGACCGCCTTCATAGCCTCCACCGCCCCTTCGAGGCTCGCCCCCGACGTCTGCTCGTGAGCGGTCACGCGGTCGGCGACCGCCCCCAGCTTGTGGACCGCCGCCGAAACCGAGGAGTGGAGCGTGTCCATCCGCACCATCTGGTTCTCCAGCCTCTTCTCCGCCACCAGCTTCTCCTCCCTCAGCCTCTTGTTCTCCCGCTCCGCCGCCTTCAGACGCTCCATGACCGCCTTTGACGCCATCCGGGTCGTGGTCGAGCCACCGCTCCCCCGCGCCTTCTTGCCCGACTTGGGTCTGCTTCCACCGCTCTTATCCGCAACCTTCGCACCGCTCTTATCCGCAACCTTCTCACCGGCGAACTGCACTGCCTCCTCGTCGGCGTCCTCACTCTCCTCGTCCTCCTCCTCCTCTTGCTCCTCTTCGCCGCCATCTTTGAACCCGTGCCCGACCGAGTGCGACCCCGCCGCAGCCTCCTCGGCCTCCCCACCCAGAGCGATGCCGGTTCCCACGCCACGACCCACGGACGACGCCTCCCGTCTGCTCAGCGCGGCCTTCTCCACTCAGTCCAACAGCTCCAGTCGGAGCGCCTTGAGGCCGACCAGCTTCGGGTTCTCGACGACGAGCGGATCGTAGCTGCGATGCACGGCGTCCAGATGGCCCAACGACCACGCGAACGCGATCGCCGACAGTAGCCCCGTGCCGGGGGCCTCCTCCCTGAGGAAGTCGGCCAATTTCTGCAACAACGGCGAAGCACATGGCGACGACGACAAAGGTGAGAACACTGCTCGACGACGAAAGCCCAAGCGACTTTGAGACATCGAAGTCGGAAACTCACATCTCGGATGGGGGCCGCAATACTCTTCACACGTGCGGAGATGACTTCGGCGGATGGAGCCTTGTCCTTCCACACCCTTCCCGGATTGTTCAACTGCGCCTTCGCGGCTTCGCCGAAAAAGCTGCGCACGCACGAGACGGACAAGAGCCATCAGACATGGTGGCACAATCGCCGATAGAGAAGAGCGCGACTAGCCGGCGACGTTGTCCCACCTCAAAAAGCTGGCCGCCTCCTTCTCGTGCAGCTTGGAGGAAGTCTTGGGGTCGAGGTGGCGGCAGAAGGTCCCGGGCTCCTCCTCGTCGGGCAAAAGCAGGTCGCCAGGGCGCACAAGAAGCAGGACGCTGCAGTGCCTGCCGGGAAGGGGTCCGCCCCTGCACAAACAATATGCAGGACGACGACATAAAGTGCTGTGTCCGGGAACAACAAGCAGCGCGGTCGGCGACGATCAAGCCTGACGGGCGCAGAACACTCACGCGGTCAAGAAGGGGACGGCCACGATTTCGAAGTCGAAGGCCGCGAAGTAAGGCGAATAGTCCGGCTTCGTCGCCGTCCTGGAGGCGCGAAGCCGTTCGGCGTTAATCAGCGCCACCTTGTCGCCTTTACCGAGGCGATTGAGCTCGGTCCTGGGACAAGCAGGGGCAAAAGGGCAGGAGGGAACCGCCTGCGCGGTGAGCTATCCTCTAGGCCAACAAGCCGACAGCGAAACAAGCCGACACGGACGAACGGAACGCACGAGGGCGACGTCGCCGGCACCCCGAGCGCCGGCGCCGACGTAGGGTCCATCTACGCGCTAGGTCGACGACGGCGTGGACCACGAGTTTTAACGACGACCTAGCGCTACGGCAACCATCATCGACTGACCACGTCGACCACGCCGGGGCCGACGAGGTGGACGCCGACCGGTATACGACGTCGACCTAGGCGCGCGACAACCCTTTACAGCTAGGGAACTAGGGAGCGAAGCACGAGGGATGAGCGCTCACGCGAGGGCGAAGTCGAAGCAACGCTCCGTGAACTCGAGCCTCTCATCGCGGAGGAGGTCGTAGTCCTTCATCTCAAACGTCACTTTGTACCCCTCGCACCCCACAGGCACATCGAGGGGGAAGTCCCCCGGAGTCAGTTCAATCCTACCGGTCGCCATGTCAGAACTAGCTGTAGAAAGTAAGAATGAAGAAAGGAGGGTTTGCACTAGCAGCAGTTGGCATACATATAGGAAACCCTAATTGGGTTGTACTCGCTATAGAGTACCCCACTGCAGGCTAGAGCATAATATTCTGACACACCCCCATAGCCAAAGTGGGGTGTAATTAGCAGACAAAGCAAAGCAGTACAAGCTCAGGGTGGATCACAATGTCACCACACATTCTGAGCACAAGTTTAAGAAGCAATAGTTTAAAGTGCACAATTATGAGCAAAGCTAGAGGCAGTTACAGAGGGCAAGTGAGGAGGAGGAGGGCTGGCGAGAGGAGAGAAGAGTGGAGGCGACGACTGAAGCTGCAGACACACGGGCAACAGACGGCTCTGGTGCAACTCTAGTGGCTACCGGGAGCAAGGGCCCCGGAATACAGGAGTAACAGGCTCTGCGTCTGATCAGCAGCGACAGGAGCAACGGACCCACGGGCGACAGGTGCAACCGGCTCTCTGAGCTACCGGTGGCTATCAGAACCCCGGAATACAGGCGCTGCAGACGACACGACGGCTGCCTCCACCCAACCTCCTCCAACTGTCCCACACCCCCCAACACACACCCCCTGCTGAAACCCTAGCTCCACTCCCATGGCACCCCCCTTAAACCCTAAACCCTCGGCTCCCACACACCCACCCCCCTGAGCAGCAGCTGCAGCAGTGGGAGACGGAGGAGGAGGAGGAGCAGGAGACGGCTGACAGAGACGGCACCCCCATACGCTCCACCCCCAAACCCTAATTCAGGAGTACGGGCAGCAGCAGGGGTGGGGCGCCGTCAGAAGCGCGAGGGACGGCGTGCAGCTCAGTGGGAGAGGAGACCGGGCGCCCGCGGGCCAGGCGCAGCCCGTACGAACCGCGCGCAGGCGGCCCGAGGCGCGCGCGGGCCAGGCGCAGCCCGTACGGGCCGCGCGCGGGTCTGGCGCAGGCCGTACGGGCCGCGCGCGGGCCTGGCGCAGCCCGTACGAGCAGCGCGCGGGTTGTACGGGCCGCGCGCGGGCCTGGCGCAGCCCGTACGGGCCGCGCGCGTGCAGGACAGGCCGCGCGCGGGCCTGGCGCAGCCTGTACGGGCCGCGCTCGTGCAGTACGGGCCGCGCACGGGCGACGGGGGCGACGCGCGGGTCCCCGGGGGCGCTTCAACGGGCGACGGGGGGAGAAAACCGCCGCGCGCCTCGGGGCGCACGGCGGGCAGAGAACCGCCGCGCGCCTCGGGGCGCACGGCGGGCAGAAAACCGCCGCACACCTCGGGGCGCACGGCGGGATGAAAAATCCGTCGCACGCCACGAGGCGTGCGACACACAGAGTAGCAGTAGCAGTAGCAGTAGCAGCGGAAGGCTTAGGTGGTGGGCCCACCCACAGGATCGACCCAGGAGGGTCGACCTGCTCTGATAGCATGTCAGAACTAGCTGTAGAAAGTAAGAATGAAGAAAGGAGGGTTTGCACTAGCAGCAGTTGGCATACATATAGGAAACCCTAATTGGGTTGTACTCGCTATAGAGTACCCCACTGCAGGCTAGAGCATAATATTCTGACACGCCATGCTAACACCACCACGGTCTCGGAATGCTACGCTACCACGATGGGGGGGAGAGAGAGAACCTAGGACGAGGGAGGTGCGAGCCAAGAAGAGAGATTGAGGAAAGCGAAGTTGGAACGGAGAAATGAAGGACGGAGCCCGACCCCCCTTCAAGAAATGGCCGTGGGCCGCCGGTCGCCCACGGCAGCATACGGCCGCTCCGGAGCGAAGCAGGCCGAGGCCGAGGGCGAGCCTCCGGCTTCGGCCCGAACCGGGCCTGCCCTCGAGGAGGGGGTTCGGGGGGGTTTGATGCGGTCCGTGCATGGGTGGTCGGGGTGGCGACAGCGAGCCACGTGTCCTATCCCGAGGGGCCAGCGATGTTGACGAGGGTGGGTTGGGGACCCCCGGTTTTCGCATCCAACCCGCCTGCCCGGCGAGGGCAGCCAAAGAGGGTTACTAGGGCCTCGCGGGCAGCGCGAAGCGAACGTCCGCCTCCGTGAAGGGGTTACTAGGCCCGTTCCCGCTCGCTCGCCAGTTCGCCACTTCGAGGGGGTAACGTGGGGTTCTGTAGCAATTCGGGGTGGGGGGCCGGGGCGGGGGTCTTCGGGGCCAGTCCCGCCCCGCGCCAGCCTGGCGGGGGAGTCACGCGAGGGAGTTGGCCGCCCTGACGCTCGGTCGACCGTCACCCCCTTGCGTCGCCCCAGGCAAAACAGGAGCGTCACCCCCGTTTCCGTTGAGCGATTCAGCTGTTTTGCAGTGCGATACACCTGTCTGTCACCTTATCGCCACGGGCTAGTCGTGCAAATACGAGGATTTATGAAACACATCCAGGTAGGAATTATGCGCCACAACCTCATCGTGCCCAACACTTGCACTTTATGTGACCATATGTTTCCATGTGCATGGCGGACTTTCTGCAGGTCACGCCTGGCGTGGTTCACAGACGTTTCTTCATAAAACGTTCACAGACCTTGTGTAGACCATGTTGAGAATATCGTGTAGCTTCATGGAACAAAAAGATACTCACCGCAAACACCGCCTCGCTCAAATTCGGAAATCAAATCGTTTACAGCTTGCGATTGCGAGAAAGCACACCTTGGGATGGGAGCACATCAGAGCTGGATGGTACTCGGCAGTGTGGCTGCACAATACTGTAGCAAACATTCTCTTTCCCACTGGCGACGGATCGTGGAACGGCAAGCAAGCACCTCAGACCCAGCCCCCAACCCGCTCTTTTCTGAAATATAAAATTTCTGCCAAACGATTCTTGACGTCCACACTAAGAAGTGTAATTGCGTCGATTTGCCTGTACGGGTCACCTCGATTTTGCCGGAAAATGTGACCACAACAGAACAGTACTGCTAGCGGACGAGAGGGGAGATGGGGAATGTATGGGGTGGGCGCTCTGGGGTGGTAGGGTAGGTAGGAAACAACCTTCTTAATTTGCCAGGAAAGAAATACACTGCCTCCACAAAGCAGGGCAGCAGGTGGGTACAGTTCCCAAAGCAACATGGACAAGATATTTAATACGGTAGCACCAGCAAAGGAACAAGCACAAGAAGTACTGCCCGCGTAGGATAATGAAATGGCACTGAAAAAAAGTCCTAATTCCTGAGCCCGAAAAAAAAAAGGTTCATGTATATAGACTTGGCTCCCATCCAAACGTGCCCGTCCACTAGGGTTTCCTACCGGCACTCAGTTTGGAGGGGATGCCTGGGAGAAATTATACAAGCAGTCACAATTTTGGCCGTTTTATCACGTTTGGTCACAGGGGTATCACAAACAGTCACAGTACAGTAGATTGCTATCACGGGTGATCACAGTGCTATCACGGATGGTCACACCTCGCCCCGAAATGCTATCACGTTTTGTCACTCGTTGAAACGATCATAAATAATCTGAAACCACAAGGGAAACAGTTGAAATTTTGGGGAATCCCAACATTGACTGCTAGTTACCTCGCGCTTTATTATAGCCTGACAATTAGGGAATTGATAGAAAAAAAAACCCCTATAGGATGGCACGTCCTTCGGGAGGCATCAACCCTAAACACCTTGCGACAAGGTGTTTAGGGTTGATGCTCCCGAATTATATCCCATCCGAACGGGTTTTAGTTTTCTTCTGTCTTGGGACAGAAAATTAACCTTAGAGTTTCACCCGTCTAAAATTGATATCTTAGGGACATTATGCATCGATCAAACACTGGACAATCGAATAGTAAAAGATATTGCAGATATTTTTGACGAGTTACCGAGAATTCTCGCGAAAGTATTTCGCATTACTACGGACAAAACGGAAAACTTTCCTTGAATCCCCACAGTGACTTGAGTAGTTTCATATTTGTATTGACAATTTCAACGAGTGACCAAACGTGATACCTTTTCGCGGTGAGGTGTGACCATCCGTGATAGCACTGTGATCACCCGCGATAGGAATTTACTGTACTGTGACTGTTCGTGATACCCCTATGACCAGAGATAATCCGGGCAAAATTGTGACTGCTTGTATAATTTCCCGATTCCTTGCCCAGACATCCACGGGACCCTGCATGGGGAGAGCACTGATCTCCGCTACACGACGAGAGCAAGCCACACTGTGATCTCAACTACACGGCGTACACGGCGTAGAGAAACTTCTATGCCGCACGCGTGCGCCTAGAATGAATGCCACTGCGGCATTCGCGAACTTTGTTGTCGAGCTGTGGAACAAAGCTGTAACGGCGTGTGCTCCCTACCTGTGAAACTTTTGGTTGTTTCTATCTTTGCAAGGAGGTGTAGTCTTCGGGAATGCACTCCAGTTCCTTGCGCAAGAAAGCAGGGTCATTACATACCCTCACTAAGGGGGGGTGTACACCGAAGGCCCCTGACCTGAAGCTCTCCATATCCAAACCGGAAAGAGCCACTCGCTTGACATCTCCGTACCTTGCTTCTACAGTAGAGCCACAGTAGGAACAGCGCCCTGCCCTCCCCCCCACTTGTCAAGCGCATCGTCCTTGCTGTCAATCACATCGCACGCCACGTCACACGTGTTCCACCCGCCCGCCAAAGTGGACTGTGGGAAGTTTTGCGGCAGCGCAAAGCGAATTGGTGGAAGTCAAGCTCTACAACAACACGAAATATCCCTTCTAAGATCCGCTTACCTTGTATTGCTGAGAAAATGAATTCCAGTTTTAACTTATGCCTGCCAATACTCCTATGGTTGAATATTGCATTTTATTATGGCCTGGATGCATTGAACACTACAGTCAGACCTTATGTTGGGGGTTTGATTTTCGTGGGCACACCGCCACCGAAACGTTTTTCGATTGGAATTCTGTCATGTGGTTCTGGGGTTCCTCCTCTACTTTGCTAGTTAAGCTCATTTTAAAGGTTCTGCTGATCTGTAGGTAAAACTGATTACACATGTTTCTGTATGCTATCCTAGCTTGATAATAATACTAAATAAGCCGAATCATAAAGAGAATGCCGTAGGTAGCCGTTGCTGGAAAACTCGGGCGGACCCAAATTTTGGTCAAATTGGTTTGGCGGGAACGGCAATATCGAGGCGACTCGAGTTTCTATGAAGCCTGTGGGTTGCGCATGAAATCTCTCTCCAAGTCCCCACCCAACCGCTCCTCACCTCACCTCACCCCTCGGTACCAGCATCGGAGTCCTTCCTTCCCTCCCATCATTCTCCCACAGTTGCTCATACCACGGCCACGGTCCCGCTTCAATCGCTGCTCACATCACTGCTCCCGTTGTTCCTCTCTCCTCTCTTTCATCCTAATATTCTGCTCCTCACATTTGCGCCCAAAATGTAGAAGAATCTGCACTTGCTATCTCCCACCCGCCACCACCGAGGCCTTTCCTCGGCTCCGCAACGGAGTTCTATTCGCCTTTTCTAATCTCTCTTCGCTCAAAGTTATCTTCTGGAACTCAATTCCTCAATGCAAAACCTAACCACCCTCTACTATAGTAAGCTACGGCATTGGTGACCTCACGCTTATTCAGCACAGATACAGTTACAAATAACTCCTAACACGCTTGACGGGAGCCTCCATGTTTAGGTTCCTTTCGCAATTTTTCCATGATGTCGGCGCTTTTTCAAGAAACTGACGATGTCGACGAGTCTGTCGCCAGGATAGCATTAGAAAGCTGATAACAAGGCCGACATACATTATAACGTAACAGGAACTTCTGCTGACGTGGCAGTACCGTCGTGATTTACTAGTAAGCCGACCTAGTAGGTACAGTCTTAGTAGTATCAAGGCTTCTAACAGTCCGTCCAGCAGCAGGGGTCCGCCATTGCTTCTGAGGGTCCGCATTGGTGCTAGTTGAGTGCAATGGCGATCACCGCGATTCCCGCATCACCCGAACGGTTCGGCTGGTCAGGTCCGAAATCTTCATGCTCGTCTCCCACAGATGCGGGCAGTAGCCGGCCGCTTCCAGGAGGGAACCCAACTCCACCGTCTAAACTGCCAGAACGGCACCCGTCGCCAATGCGCTTACCGTCTCCCAGACGGTTTCCGTCACCTAGAAGGCAGCCGGCATCGCCGACACCGCTTGACAGGGGAGCAAACCGGTCGTTGAAGTTTCCGGCGGCTACCACGTCGCTCATAAAGGACAGTCCAAATAAGGAGCTGAAGGAAGGTTCGGAAAAGGACGGAGGAAGAGACAATCCTGGAAAACGGGAAGGCCGCGTTACTAAAGCACCAATGGTGGCGCCCTTTACAGCATCGGCTCCAGTAGCAGCTCCCGCTATAGTCATCCCTTCTCATTCCGCGAAACCGCCGTCCACTGGTATCCCGTCTCCTGCACTGAAACCATCTGCTGCTGCCGCGTCTCCCGCACTGAAACCGTCTACTGCTATCCCAGCCCCTGCACAAAAGCCGTCTACGTCTAGCCCGTCTCCTGCACGGAAACCGTCTACCTCCATCCCTTCTACTTCACTAAAACCGTCTACTTCCATCCCGTCTCCTGCACTTAAACCGTCTACTTCAATTCCGTCTCCTGCACTGAAACCGTCTACTGCTATCCCGTCGCCTGTCCTGAAACCCGCCACGCCGCCATCCTCCCCACCCAGTAGCTTCAAGCCCTTCGGTCCACCTGTGTCAAATGATACGGCGGCAGCTGCAGATTCAGGAACCGATTCGGCCGGTCAAGCCTTGCGAGCGGTGGCTGCTTCGTTTGTTCCGGCATTCAGCGCAAAGCTTTCAGACGGAGCGACCGCAACGGCGTCACGAGCAGCGAAGAAGACGAATTCGACGCCTGTGTTTACTCCATCAGACAGAAAGCGGAGCTCCACACCCACGTTCTCGCGTCCGGAGCGGAAAGCGAGTCCCACACCTTGCGTGAGCGCAATCGGCGATCGGATTCGGAAGCAAAGCCCCGTGCAGTCCGTGACGTCACGTGCTGTACCACCCGTGACGTCACGTCTTGACCGGAACGACACTCCGTCTCTCGAGCTGCCGCGGGAGGAGAGGACGGAGCGGCCGACGCTGAGCTGGCAGGTCCGCAGTCAAGGCGTGAGAGTTGCAGCAGGTTCGGAGAAGAGCGCAGCAGCTTCGGAGAAGAGCACAGGATCACGAGGCAGTGCTCGCGGGGCTAGCGGAGATGGTGAGAATAACGGTGGTGGTAGTAACGGGAGCTGCGGAAGCGGTGACAGTATCGGTGGTAATGGGGTCACGGTACGTGGTGAGAAGAGCGGTGGTGGTGGGGCCAGAGGAAGGAGTGAACTTAGCGGTGGTAGTGGTGCGGTCAGCGGAGTCAGTGACAATAGCGGTGGTAGTGGAACCAGCGGTAGCAGTGGAAAGTCGAGCGTGGTGGGAGTTGAGACGAAGAATCGCAATCCTACGTGGGATGAAGAGGCCGAGGGGAAAGACGCGGTGATAGCGGTGAAAGCTTTGATTGGTGGAGATGGGCGGAAGGAGGAGGCGGCGATGCAAGGGGGGCCAGCATATGTGGAGCTAGCAGGGAGCGAATCCGGACAGCGACGCATGTCTCTTAGAAGGACTTCTTCTGTTGGTACTGGCGGGTGGGTTGATAGAGTGACTGTAACGAAGGGGCCTAACGAGAGGTCTGAAATTGGTGAGACAGGACTGCCAAGCACGACTGTGGGAATCGATGGAATTGCACGAGGAGTGGCAGCAGGAGAAGAACTGGCAGGGAAGTTAACAGCAGCAGAGAGGCAAGGAGCGTCAGTTAAGACTGGAATGCTGGAGTCGATAGTTCCCACGGTCTTTGCACCCGCAGATCCAGTAGCGCCAGCTCCACCAACAGCAGCAAGCCTGATAGCATCAGCATCAGCCGCAGCCGCACCGCGACCAACAACAACAGCAGCAGCCTCAGCAGCAGGAGCAACAGCAGCAGCAGCAGCAGCAGGAGCAACAGCAGGTGCTGCAAGCCTAGCATCGGTGGTAGGACCCACAGTGACTGAGTCGTCGCTTCCAGTCAGGCCAATGGTGGTCTCTACTGCTGCAGGAATGGCGAAAAAGGACGACGAAACATCTGCTACAGCAGTAGAGCTGACTGGAGAAGCGCCGAGGCTGATGGCTGCACCACCAGTGGCTCCAAGAGTAGCCGAAGCAGCAGCGGCATCATCTGCAAAAGGGGCAGCGATTGCAGCAGCAACGAGTGCGAGTGGAGGGGCAGCAGCAGCAGAGGTGGAGGCAAAGACAAGCGAAGGAACAGAAGCAGGAGCAGCCTCAGAAGCAGGGGCGGCAGCAGGGGCAGCAGCAGCGGTGGGGTCAGCAGTGACTGTGGCAGTGAACGTGCGGCCCATGGTGCCTCATGAAATGGCTGCTCGATGCGTCGAGTGCATCAAGGTCCCTCCTGGAGGCAAGCCCGAGGTGAGAGTCTGCTTGTCGTCTTGTCCTCCCTTCAACACTTGGCGGCAGCAGGGCGGCAGCAGCGGTGGGGTCGGCAGTGACTGTGGCAGTGAACGTGCGGCCCATGGTGCTTCATGAAATGGCTGCTCGATGCGTTGAGTGCATCAAGGTCCCGCCTGGAGGCAAGCCCGAGGTGAGAGTCTGCTTGTCGTCTTGTCCTCCCTTCCCCACTTGGCGGCAGCAGGGGCAGCAGCAGTGGTGGGATCGGCAGTGACTGTGGCAGTGAACGTGCGGCCCATGGTGCCTCATGAAATGGCTGCTCGATGCGTGGAGTGCATCAAGGTCCCGCCAGGAGGCAAGCCAGAGGTGAGGGATTGATGCATAACTGTGGCAGTGACGTGCAGCCCATGATACCCCACGAGATGGCTGCCAGATGCGTGGAGTGCATCAAGGTCCCTCCTGGAGGCAAGCCCGAGGTGAGAGTCTGCTTGTCGTCTTGTCCTCCCTTCCGCACTTGGCGGCAGCAGGGGCAGCAGCAGCGGTGGGGTCGGCAGTGACTGTGGCAGTGAATGTGCGCCCCATGGTGCCCCATGAAATGGCTGCTCGATGCGTGGAGTGCATCAAGGTCCCTCCTGGAGGCAAACCAGAGGTGAGGGATTGATGCATGACAGTGGCAGTGAATGTACGGCGCATGGTGCCCCATGAAATGGCTGCCAGATGCGTGGAGTGCATCAAAGTCCCGCCAGGAGGCAAGCCAGAGGTGCGGGATCGAATCCTGCTGTCAACGTCAAGTTGTCTCCTGCCCTGCCCACTTGTTCTCCCTGCACTTCCTCCCTCACTTGCCCCTGAGCCTGCGCCCCCTCAAGCCTCCCACGCCAATTCTCGTCTCCCCCCGCTGAATTGCCTCCCCAAATCCTCATGCCTCCCCTCTTCCTATCCCATCGCACTCTTGTTTCCACTCTTCCCTCTCCTTTTCGCTCTTCTCTCTCTATGATTCCTTCCCTTACTGCCACTCTGCCCTCTCTAGGTGCATGTATCGCCAGACTGGGTGTTCACATACGACTATGTGTACGGAGGGACGGGCCCGCGCATGCCTCACTCGACTCCTCTTTCCTTACTGGCTCCACTATATCTCTACTCTCTCCCCAACCCCCGACCAGGTGCATGTCTCGCCAGACTGGGTGTTCACATACGACTATGTGTATGGAGGGACGGGCCCACCCATGTCGCAGCTCATCCATTGTCCCTGTCTCCACTCTATATCCCTCTCTACTACCGCCTCATGTCTCCCTTCACTTCCTTCTCTTCCCCATTCACCAGGTGCATGTTTCGCCAAACTGGGTGCACATACGACTATGTGTACGGAGGGACGGGCCCACCCATGCCTGAGTGGATTCCTCTTTCCTCCCTTTCGTCCCCCGTCCCCACTCCACAATCCCACTCTCTTCCCTCTCTTCCCTCGCCAGGTGCATGTCTCGCCAGACTGGGTGTTCACATACGACTATGTGTACGGAGGGACGGGCCCACCCATGCCTGAGTGGATTCCTCTTTCCTCCCTTTCGTCCCCCGTCCCCACTCCACAATCCCACTCTCTTCCCTCTCTTCCCTCGTCAGGTGCATGTCTCGCCAGACTGGGTGTTCACATACGACTATGTGTACGGAGGGACGGGCCCGCGCATGCCTCACTCGACTCCTCTTTCCTTACTGGCTCCACTATATCTCTACTCTCTCCCCAACCCCCGACCAGGTGCATGTCTCGCCAGACTGGGTGTTCACATACGACTATGTGTATGGAGGGACGGGCCCACCCATGTCGCAGCTCATCCATTGTCCCTGTCTCCACTCTATATCCCTCTCTACTACCGCCTCATGTCTCCCTTCACTTCCTTCTCTTCCCCATTCACCAGGTGCATGTTTCGCCAAACTGGGTGCACATACGACTATGTGTACGGAGGGACGGGCCCACCCATGCCTGAGTGGATTCCTCTTTCCTCCCTTTCGTCCCCCGTCCCCACTCCACAATCCCACTCTCTTCCCTCTCTTCCCTCGCCAGGTGCATGTCTCGCCAGACTGGGTGTTCACATACGACTATGTGTACGGAGGGACGGGCCCACCCATGCCTGAGTGGATTCCTCTTTCCTCCCTTTCGTCCCCCGTCCCCACTCCACAATCCCACTCTCTTCCCTCTCTTCCCTCGTCAGGTGCATGTCTCGCCAGACTGGGTGTTCACATACGACTATGTGTACGGAGGGACGGGCCCGCCCATGTCGCAGCTCTTTGCCGACTGTATCATGCCTCTCGTGCACGGACTCTTTGACGGCTACAACGCTACAGTCTTTGCATACGGGCAGGTGAGAGAATGTGATTGATATAATTTCCACGCACGGGCAGGAGAGAGAGTGCAATTGATGGTTACAACGCTACCGGCAGGCATATGGCTCACCCATGTCGCAGCTCTTTGCCGACTGCATCATGCCTCTCGTGCACGGGCTCTTTGACGGCTACAACGCTACAGTCTTCGCATACGGGCAGGTGAGGGAGTGTGATTGTCATTGTCTTCGTGCGCGAACAGGTGCGAGAGTGTGATTGTTGAGGGTCACAGCCATGCTACAGGCATTGCATACGGGTCCACCCATGTCGCAGCTCTTTGCTGACTGCATCATGCCTCTCGTGCACGGGTTGTTAGATGGTTACAACTCTACGGTCTTCGCGTATGGGCAGGTGAGAATGTGTGTAAAGATTATAATGCTACACTTTTCACGTGTGGGCAGGTGAGAATGTGTGTAAAGATTATAATGCTACACTTTTCACGTATGGGCAGGTGAGTGAGTGTTTGACAGATAATTGCAGGGCTGTGGACTTCTTAAACGGGCGGCGAGCAAGATTATCTCTGATGGTTACAATGCTACAGTTTAGACAGTGACTACGCTGCCTCAAACCACACTGCATCAGCCGATCTTAACAGCATGGGCAGAGCACTGCTCTTTCTGCCACGGCCGCCGCCTCCGCCGCCGCCGCCGCCGCCACCGCCACCGCCACCGCCACCGCCACCGCCACCGCCACCGCCACCGCCACCGCTGCTGCTGGCATGATTGACGCTGCATCGCACATGGTTATCGAGCGTCATAGAACCGCTCCCCCTTACCTATTCTTACCCGTCTATCCCTCCTAAATCCACAGACCGGGTCTGGCAAGACGTACACCATGGGCACGGCTCTTCAAAGCACGGCTGCTGTTGCTGCTGCTGAGACCGACAGCAGTGGTGGAGGTGCTACCAGTGCGGACAAGGATGGGAGCCTGATGAACAGCGACAGTAGCAGTGGCAGCCCCAGCAAAGCCATTGGCAACACTGGGGGCACCAACAGTGGCAGCAGCAGCAGTGAGAGGAGGGAGGGGAGGAGCACCACAAGTTGCAGCGCAGTGGGGGCTGTGAGTCCAGCGTCAGTGGAGAAGGAGGGCGGGGTGGCCAGGCGCGTGGTCAACTCGCTCTTCCAGCGTGTTGAGGATCTCTCCCACTGCTCTCGCTTCCAGATCCGCGTCTCACTCATCGAGGTGCGTTGGGCCAGTCACTGGGGTTTCAGCAGGCGGTCAGTAAGGCCAGTGGCCAGTGGAGACGAACAATGCCCTGTTGGTACGTGCAACTCGCATGGAGGACAGTCAAATCGCTCTTCCAGCGCGTGGAGGATCTCGCCCACTGTGCTCGCTTCCAGACCCATGTCTCGCTCATAGAGGTGCGTGGGATCAGCGGGGTCAGTGGGGTCAGTGGGGTCAGAGGGGTCAGAGGGGTCAGAGGGGTCAGAGGGGTCAGTGGGGTCAGAGGGGTCAGAGGGGTCAGAGGGGTCAGAGGGGTCAGTGGGGTCAGTGGGGTCAGTGGGGTCAGTGGGGTCAGTGGGGTCAGTGGGGTCAGTGGGGTCAGTGGTCTCCTCCTCGAGTGTCTCGCCTCTCCCTTCCCAAATCCCCCCCCCCCCCTCACCTACCCTGTGGATTGAGTCGACTGAAAAGACTTCTCATGTTTACCCCTTCCATTCCCCCACACTGCCTCGTTCAGATCCACAAGGACAATATCCATGACCTTCTGGAGCTCCTCGCAGCTCCCTTGTTCTCAGAGCCATGCCGCTGCCGAGCACGCCTCTTTCTTCTCATGTCTTCCCCTTCCATTCCCCCACACTGCCCCATTCAGATCCACAAGGACGATATTCACGACCTTCTAGAGTTCCTCGCAGCTCCCTTCCCCACCTCCACCCCCTCCTCCGCCTCGCCCGCCACCGTCGCTGCCCTCGCTGCTGCTGCTGCTGCGGCCCGAGCCTCCCCATCAGGCCCGGCGCCCCTAGGCCCGGCGCCGCCGCCCCGGCAGACTGTGGCGATCCGGGAGTTACCGGGGGGTGTGTCTCTGACAGGGGTTACAGAGCAGGTGGTTACCACACGGGACGAGGCTATAGCTTGCTTGGAGCATGGGCTGTTGTTTCGGGCGACAGGCAGTCACAACCTGAACCAGCGCTCCAGGTTTGTGTGTGTAGGGCGGATGGGGTTGGTCCGAGCATTGGTTAATCCTTCCCTCTCATTCTGCTGGTCTCTGTCCTCCTTTCCCCAGTCGTACGCACGCCATCTTTATTTCTTATGAAGGATAAGGCCCTTCTTGAACCTTATCCCTGCCGTGCTTCATTCGGTTACCAGCCCTACCCTTTGCCCTCCTGTACACAAGCAACCCTTTCCCACCAGTCGTTCTCATGCCATATTCACAATATTCGTGGACCATTTCAGACGAAAGGCACTCCCACTGGTCCCCGCCTCTCCCCATCAACCCCTTCCCCCTTTCTCCCCCCTTTTGTCTTGTCCTTTCCCTTTCACACCAGTCGTTCCCACGCCATATTCACAATATTCGTGGATCAATTCAGGCGAAGAGCAGTCCCATTGGATGCCACTGCTCGCCTTTCCACCAGCGTGACAACCGCCACCAGCACTTACCTAAGCACCAGCACCAGTGGCAGTTCCAGCAGCAGCGGGAGAGCTTCGCTTGAAAGCGGAGACGGGTCGGGGAGAGCTGATGGGATGGCACTGTTCGGGCAGGACGAAAATGTTCTGTTTGGGGTCGGGCGGATGGACGAGGAGCATCTGTGTGCGAAGATGCATCTGGTGGACCTGGCGGGCAGCGAGCGAATCAAACGCACCAAGGCAGAGGGCGCTCGGCTGAAGGAAGGTAGGTCGAAAGCAGAGTAGGTATTGCAATGTCGGGGGACGGTGGGTCTTCCCCGATAACCTCTGGGCTGCCTGATCCAAACGCCTTATCGCACACTTGTTCCCTTCAAGCCTCCGGTAGAGCAAGGCGAGATGAATCTGGTGGGGCGGGTAGGGCAGCGAACGAATCATTCGTGACATTTGAGGCGACTCATTAACTGCTGCTCTTCTTTCACATCAACAGGGGTCTCCTGGCCTTTGGCAACGTGATCAGTGCGCTCAGCAGCGATGACTTGTTGAGTGGACTCATAGACTAATACTCTACTCCCACCTCCACCACCCTCCCCCTGCAGGCATTCACATCAACAGGGGTCTCTTGGCCTTAGGTAACGTGATCAGTGCGCTCAGCAGTGATGAGAAGAGGAGGAAGGATGCAGGAGGGGGAGGAGGCGCGGGGGGGTTCACAGCAGCGTTGATTCCGGTGCATGTGCCTTATCGGGACAGCAAGCTGACACGGCTGCTGCAGGTGCGTCTGTGGGGAGGGGGGTGTAGATGGGGAGGGTGGGGCGGGAGGGGGTGCAGGGTTCACAGTGGCGTTGATCCCGGTGCATGTGCCGTATCGAGACAGCAAACTGACGCGGCTGCTGCAGGTGCGTGTGTAGTGGGTATGTGTAGAGGAGGAGGGCGGGTGGGTGGGGGGGAGGTGCAGGGTTCACAGCGGCGTTGATCCCGGTGCACGTGCCGTATCGCGATAGCAAGCTGACGCGGCTGCTGCAGGGGGGAAAAGGGGGGGGGGGGGGGGGGGGGGGGAGGGGGGAAGGGTGGGATGGGAGGAGGTGCAGGGTTCACAGCGGCCTTGATCTCGGTGCATGTGCCGTATCGAGACAGCAAACTCACACGGCTGCTGCAGGTGCGTGTGGGGGTGTGGGTAGAGGGTGGGTCTGTGTGTGTGGGGACAGGCTTCACAGCGGCGTTGATCCCGGTGCACGTGCCGTATCGCGATAGCAAGCTGACGCGGCTGCTGCAGGTGCGTGTATGGATGATGTTTTGTAACTTGCGAATCACATACATACCTTTGGCGGGTGGCGTTGATCCCGGTGCACATGCCGTATCGAGATAGCAAGCACGGCTGCTGCAGGTGTGAAGTGTTTCCAAACGGTGACTGAGTTCCTGCGTGTTTGCATATGCGCTTGTGTGCTGCGCACGAACAAAAATCCTTCCTTGTGTGCTGCCAACACTCATTCTTTCTTCTTCTGTGAGCCTTCTCAGCAACTGAACGTCTCATCCCACTATTTTGCTAACTCCTGTGTCGATTCAAGATCATTCCAAAACGAACTTCCACCAGAAGTTGCCTCTAACTACCTCCAACCGGCTCTTTCTTCCATTCCCCTATTCCCCGTGTGCAACTGTCTCCCATCTGTGTGTTTTCAGGACTCCCTAGGGGGAAACAGCCGCACTGTCATGATAGGTAAGCAGTGCCGCAACCAGATCCCAGGAGGAAACAACCACACTGTTGTTTTGACAGGTATGGAGTGCTCAATGAGATGGTCCCTTTTCGGGCTAGGTAAGTCTGACCTTTTCTTCTCTCTCGTCATTCTGGTTGCTGTTTACTGCTTGTTGCTGGCTGCGTTTCCCCTTTCCTCTGTTTCTTACAGCCTGTGTGGGCCCCACGGATTCGATCCAGCTGGGCACAGCAAACTGACAGCATCCAAACTCTTCCCAACCCCTCCCCCCACCCCCCTCTCCTTCCCCCCCTCTTCACGTGTTTCCTTGCAGCGTGTGTGAGCCCCACAGACTCCAACGTAGAAGAGAGTTTCAACACCCTGAGATATGCCAACCGCGCACGGGAGAAGCTGACACCCTCCCTCCCTTTGCGTTTCTCCTTTACTTTTCCCTGCCTGTATTTGCAGCGTGTGTGAGCCCCACAGACTCCAACGGAGAAGAGAGTCTCAACACCCTGCGATACGCCAACCGCGCGCGCAACATCTGCAACCGACCCACGGTGAACCAGCTGGGCACGGCAGACTGATACCTTTCCTCCAAACCCACCCCGTGGTTCCTTGCAGCCTGTGTGAGCCCCACAGACTCCAACATAGAGGAGAGTCTCAACACCCTTCGCTATGCCAATCGTGCAAGAAACATCTGCAACCGACCCACGGTGAACCAGCTGGGCACGGCAGACTGATACCTTTCCTCCAAACCCACCCCGTGGTTCCTTGCAGCCTGTGTGAGCCCCACAGACTCCAACGTAGAGGAGAGTCTCAACACCCTTCGCTATGCCAATCGTGCAAGAAACATCTGCAACCGACCCACGGTGAACCAGCTGGGCACGGCAGACTGATACCTTTCCTCCAAACCCACCCCGTGGTTCCTTGCAGCCTGTGTGAGCCCCACAGACTCCAACGTAGAGGAGAGTCTCAACACCCTTCGCTATGCCAATCGTGCAAGAAACATCTGCAACCGACCAACGGTGAACCGGCTGGGCACGGTGGATGCAGAGGAGGTGCGGCGGTTGAGGCAGCACGTGTCTCTGCTGCAGGCAGAGCTCGCTAGAGTGCCCCCACCGCTTCCCATCACAGCAGAAGAGCTTCAGGTGGGTTCTTAATGGGGCCACAAGTCACCGGTAAAGATCCTGTAAGTGGTGCTTCTGGGTAGGTGTCATTGGAGCTGCAGCATGTGCCATGGGCCCACGGTGAAATGACTGGGCACGGTGGATGCGGAGGAGGTGCGGCGGCTGAGGCAGCACGTGTCTCTGCTGCAGGCAGAGCTCGCTAGAGTGCCCCCACCGCTTCCCATCACAGCAGAAGAGCTTCAGGTGGGTTCTTAATGGGGCCACAAGTCACCGGTAAAGATCCTGTAAGTGGTGCTTCTGGGTAGGTGTCATTGGAGCTGCAGCATGTGCCATGGGCCCACGGTGAAATGACTGGGCACGGTGGATGCGGAGGAGGTGCGGCGGCTGAGGCAGCACGTGTCTCTGCTGCAGGCAGAGCTGGCAAGGGTGCCACCGCCGTTGCCTATCACAGCAGAAGAGCTTCAGGTGGGTATTGGGAAGAAGGTCAGGTGAATGGTGCTGGATGCGGAGGAGGTGCGGCGGCTGAGGCAGCATGTGTCCCTCCTGCTGCAGGCAGAGCTGGCTAGGGTGCCGCCCCCTCTGCCCATCACAGCAGAGGAACTGCAGGTGGGTTCTTAATGGGGCCACGAGTCACCAGTAAAGATCCTGTAAGTGGTGCTTCTGGGTAGTTGTCGTTGGAGCTGCAGCATGTGCCATGGGCGTGGCTGGGCACAGTGCACGCAGAGGAAGTGCGGCGGCTGAGGCAGCACGTGTCTCTGCTGCAGGCAGAGCTGGCAAGGGTGCCGCCCCCTCTGCCCATCACAGCGGAAGAGCTTCAGGTGGGTGTGCTGAGTCGGCTGAAAAGTAACCGCGGAAGAGCAGCATGTGCCATCGGCTGCTGGGAAACAAGTGGGCACATGCAACATCTGCAACTGCCCCACAGTGAACCGGCTCGGAACGGTGGATGCACGTGTCCCTGCTGCTGCAGGCAGGACTGGCTAGGGTGCCGCCCCCACTGCCCATCACAGCAGAAGAGCTACAGGTGGGTGTGCTGAAATGGTCCATAAGTCACTGGATAAAAATTAGGTCAGTTGTGCTTTTGGAAGGTAGCAGTGAGACGTTTTATGATAGCTAGCAGCATGTGCCATCGGCCGACGGTGAACCGGCTGGGCACGGTGGATCCGGAGAAAAACCCTGGCATCTCTCGAGGAGGCCAACTCCCAGTTGAAGGTTGTCGAGTCAATTCAGAAGCTGGTTCCTCTCTCATTTCCCTCGTCATCCTCCCTGTTTGATCTTCACTGCTCCCAGGCCCTGGAACAGAATCTGGTATCCTTTGAGGAGGCCAACATCCAGTTAAAGGCGTCCCTAGAAAGCACCCAGTCAGACCTGCAGTCAACCCAGCAGAACCTAGACGCAACACGGCTATCCTTGGAATCTGAGAGGCAGCGAGCAGATGACAGCGAGGCGGCTTGCGCTGCTCTGCATGCTGACTGTGCGGCGCTGCGTGCTGACCTGGACAGCGCCACGTCAGAGATCGAGCGGCTGCGCGCTGAGCTGGCGGCGGCAAAGGAGGAGTCAGCGAAAGCGAAGGAGCAGCTGGATGGGTTGAGAAAGTCGCATGAGAGAACCAGCCGTGGGTATGGCGCTGGTGGCACTGCTGCTGGTGCTGGTGGTGGTGGTAGTTTCGGCAGCAATAGTGCTAGAATGCAGTCGGGCGGAGGTGGGGGAACAGCAGCCTTTGGAGCGGCACGAACGGACGAGATCAAGCGAGTGAAGAGAGAGGCTGATAGGGCCGTGGCTGAGGCGACTAAGAGGGCGGAAAGGGAGAGTAAAAAGGCGGAAGATGCTATTGCTCGGGCTAGGAAGGCGTTGGAGAGAGCAGTGGAGGCAGAGAAGCGGGCCCCAGAGGCAGAGAGACGGGCGGCAGAAGCGGAGAGGAGAGTAGCGGAAGCTGAGAAGAAAGCAGCAGGGGCAGAGAGACGGGCAGCAGAGGCGGAGGAGAGAAGGGAGAGGGAGATGCGACGGGCAGATGGTAGTGTTGAGCGGTTGAGTTTGGCAGAGGTCCGGGCTGCCGAGGCTGAGGCAGAGGTTCGGGCGCTTCGCTCGGAGCTGGCTTCGGCGGCTGCTGAGGCAATGGCGGCTGCTGTGGCCCGGCAAGAATCGGAGCAGGAGCAGGTGAGGGTGGTTCGGATGCAGCTTGCCGAGGCTGAGAAGGAGGCTCGGACGACTATTGCAGAGATGGAAAATAGGTTCGGGAAGGAGCGGGAAGAGTATGAGAGGCGGTTTGAAGCTGAGAGACAGCAGTGGGAGGAGGAGAAGAGTGCGTGGGAGGAGGAGGGGAGGGCGAGAGAGAGGAGGGTGGCACATGAACGTTATACCTGGAATCATGAGTTGACTGCAGAAGTGGAAAAACGGGAGAGGAACTGGGCAGGGGAACGGGAGATGTGGGAGAGGAGTCTTAGAGAGGAAGCGGAGGTTTGGGAAAGAAGGCTGAAAGAGGTACGGGACGCATGGGAAGTGAAACTGAAAGAGGAAGGGGAGGCGTGGGAGAAGAAACTCGCAGCAGCTGAAGAGAAAGCAGCAGGCGTTGCGGAGAGGATCAGGGCGGAGGTGGAAAGGGCGGAGGAGCAGGCAGTAGCTGGGATGCTGCAGGAAAAGAGGCTTGCAGAGGAGAGGGCTGTTGCTGCTGAACGGGCTTTGGCAGGGGAGCGAGCGATGCTGGAAAGGAGAATGGCGGATCTGAGAGCACAGGTGAGGAAGGCAGCAAAGGAGGAAGAGGCGGAGTGGCTTGGGTTGGTGACTTCTGAGGCTGAGAGGTTGAGTGAGGAGTGTAATGCGTTGAAGGGCGAGTGTGGGGAGTTGAGGAGGGAGTGTGAGGGGTTGAGGAGGAGGGAGAGGGAGGAACGGGAGAGGAGGGAGAGGGAGGAGGCGAGGGCTGTGAGGGCCGAGGCTGCTGCTGCCGAAGCTGAGGCTCGGGTGGCTCGGGAGGTGGAGAGCGTCCAAGAGCAGGCTCGGGAAGAGGCTCGGAAAGAGGCAGAGAAAATGGAGAGTGATTTGGCAGAGGTTTGGGCGCAAGCAGAGGTGGAAGCAAAGAAGGCAGAAGATGCAACTGAGAGGGTGAAAGAAGCGGAGGAGCAGGTGATTATATTGAAGGTTAAGATCGAAGGGTTGAGGGAAGAGTTGAACGAGCTTGAAGCTGTTCTGGAGGAGGAGGAACGGAATGCGGAAGAAGCAGAGAAGCTGCTGGTTCGGGCCCAGGCCAAGCTTGCCGAGGCTGAGGCTCGGGCCGAAGCTGCAGAGGGGCGAGTGGAGGAGCTAGAAGGGGAGGTGGAGAGAGCAAGAGAGGCGGAAGAGGTGGTTCGAGTGGAGTGTGAAGTAATGAGGGAGTGTGTGCGTGCGGCAGGGGAGAGAGTGGATGAAGTGACAGAGAGAGTGAGGAGGAGTGAAAGAGCTGCGGAGGAAGCAGAGGAGAGGGCGAGAGGAGCGAAGGAGGAGCAGAGGAAGGCAGAGGGGAAAGCGAGTGAGGCGTTGGCAGCAGTGGATGCGGCGGAAGAGAGAGCGAGAGTTGCTGTGCGGGAGAAGGAGGAGGCGGAGAGGAGAGCAGAGGAGGCGAGGCGGAGGGCTGTAGAGGCTGAGAGGAAGGCTGCTGCTGCTGGGGCAGCGTTGGTAGAAGCAGAGGAATGGATGAGGGATATGGGAAGGAAGGATGAGGAGAGAAACGAGGGGGAGGAGGTGGAAATTGGGGGGAAGCAGGAGGAAGAGACGAAAAAGCGGGAGGGAAAAGAGGGAGAGGCGAAGGGAATGAGGGGGAGACAGGGGGAAAGGGATGTGGAGGAGGTAGTAGTGGCTCTGGTTTGCGAGATGCTGGACAGTGCAATGGCGAGGGTGACTGTACAGGAGACGACTCCCGAGGTGCCTCAAGAATCACTGGTGAGGGAGAATCAAGCAGAGGAGAAGGAGCAACAGTGTGGGGAAGACAAGCAGCAGGGGCAAGACAAGCAGCAGGGGGGAGACAAGCAGCAGCGTTTGGGGTTGGATGAGGTGGTGGGTGAGCTGCCGGATGATTCGCAGGATGAACTGCAAAACGCGCTTCTGAATAAACCGCAGAGTGAACTTCGGAACGGAGTGGCAGTAGGAGGCGAGTGGCATGGGAGGAAGGAGGAGGTTGAGGCAGTGGTGGTGGGCCTAGTGGGACAGGTTCTGGATAGCACCGTGATGATTCTGCAGGCTCAGGAGCAGGCTCGGGAACAGGCTCGGGAGCAGGTCTGGGAACAGGTTTGGGAGCAGGCTCGGAAGCAGGCTCGGTATCAGTCGCAGGTGCAGCTTTTCCGGGCAGAGGAGAAGGCTACCGAGGCGACAGAGCAGGTTCGGGGGCTGGAGCAGCAGCTGATGAAGGCAGAGGAGCAGGTTCGGCAGACTGGGGAGGAGATTGCGGTGCTCAAGGCTGAGTTGGCTAGAAAGCAGGCTGAGCTGGAGGATAAGGTTGCTGAGCTGGCACGGGCTGTAGAGGAGAAGGAGAGGGGTAGAGGGGAGGTGGAAGCACTGAGGAATGGGATAGAGAACTTGCGGGGAAGGCTGCGAGTGAGGGAGGAGGAGAAGGGGCATGCAGAGGAGCATCTAGAATGGCTTATGAAGGAGCTGGCAGAAGAGATGGACGAGAGGGAGGGGGAGAGGAGGGAAGTGAACGCGATAAGAGAGGAGATTGGGAGATTGCGAGGGAAGGTGCGGGAAGGTGAAGAGGCGAGGAGGCAGGCGGAGGGGCGAGTGGAGAGGCTTATGGAAGAATTGGCTGAAGCGGCGGAGGAGAGGGAGAGGGGTAGGGGGGAGGTGAAAGCGGTACGAGAGGAGATGAAGGGGTTGAGAGGGATGTTGAGGGATGGCGAGGAGGAGAGGAGGCAACTGGAGGAGCATGTGGAATGGTTGATGAGAGAGTTGGCTGAGGTGGTGGTTGAAAAGGAGAGAGCTGAGAGGGAGAGGAGAGAAGAGGATGTGGATCGGGGTGAAAAGGAGGAAAAGAAAGCAGAGGCAGAGACAGAGGTGGAAACAGAGGCAGACTCTGGGTCAGAGGAAGAGGATGGGATTTCAGCACAAGCAGAAGTGGAAAGTCAAGAAAATCGTGTAGCAGAAGCAGAAAACGGAGGAGAGGCAGAACCAGATCCAGAGGCAGGCCCAGAGGCAGGGATAGGAGAAGAAGGAGCATCAGAGGCGTGTGCAAAGTGGTGTGTCTTAGTGGGTGAGGAGGCATGTGAGGAGGGGGGTGAGGAGGTGCGTGAGGAGGCATGTGAGGAGCTGACCTCTACCTTGCAATCGCAAGGCGCCGTTGCAACTCCTGTGATGAACCAAGAAGAAAATTCTCCTTTCGTCACTCCTACTGCCTCACCCACTACCTCTCCCTCTTCCTCTCCCTCCGCTCCCCCTCTCTCTCTGCAACTGACCACTTCGGCTGCTTGCCCAGCAATAAACGCAGGTGCTGTCATTCCCGCCTGCCCCCTGCCTGAAACAGTCAGTGGCCTTGTCAATACAGCCTCTGCTCCGCCCCTGCCTGCATTAGCCAGTGGTGATGGCGCAGCGTTTGCCTGGCCTCTTCCAGCAGAGGAGGAACAGCCCTGGAATCCTTTCCTCAGCGCCCCACCTGAAGCTCCACCTGATGCCTCACCTGATGCCTCACCTGATGCCCCTCCTGATGCTGATGCCTCACCTGTTGCCCCACCTCCTGCTGCTAATGAAGTGGTTACAGCAGTACCAGAATCGTCATATGCGCCAGCAGTTGCGGCGCTGTCACACTACAATCCCTTCCTGGACTCTTTTGAGGAACCCTCACCAGATCACACCAACAATCACCCAGGGCAGACAGGGTTTGAGTCGGCTCACAAGCCGTTCCTGATAAGCTTTGATGAAGAGCCCTTGTTGGAGCTGGAAGGTGATACAGAGGACTCGGCCGAGGAAGCCATACAGGGACGTGAGGCCGGTAGCAGCCATACAGCGATGCCCAAGCAGTCTCTGACGGCTGACCGTGGCAGAAGCAGCATTCCTCGCTCCAACAGTAACCCATTCCTGTGCTCTTGGGCGGAGCTTGATGGGGTAGAGGAGACCAGTGGAGAGGAGAGGATTGGTGTGGAGCAGGAGAGATGGAACTGGGACAAGGGTGGAGACGAGGAGGGAGGATGTGATGATAGGGCTGTTGAGGAGAACAAGGAGAGTGGCGGAATGAAGGAGGGAAGTGGGGAGACGGGGTGCACTCTAAGCAGCAGCAGTCTTTCTGTCACCGCTGTTGGGAGCAAGGCTGCTAGCACTGCTGCAGGAGCGACTGCGGGCACAGTTGCAGGTGCCGCTAGTGCTAATACCACTGCTGGTATCACCGCTGCTTGCACCACCACTGCTATCACCGCCACTGCTAACAACACCACTGCTAACACTGCAGCGGCTTGCACCAAGACTGGAGGCTTCATGCGTCTCCCAAGCTCCCCACGCCTCTCCTCCTCTCGGGCCCCCCCTGCCCTCGCTGCTCGCTCCATTCTCTCTCACACCAAGCCCCTCCCTCTCTCGCACTCGCCTGCTGCTGCTGACCCGCTGATTGCTGCAGCTGTGGCAGCTGCTGCTGCTTCTGCTGCTGGTGCTGGTGCTGGTGCTGCTCGTTCTGCTACTGTTGCTGCTGAATTCGACGGGAATGGAGAGATGGCGGCAGCAGCAGCAGCACAGAGAGGAGCACAGACAGCAGCACCATCAGAACAGGCAGCACAGGAAGCAGCACAGACAGCAGCAGGGGGGTCAGCACAGGCAGCAGTGGTGGTGCTTCCAGCTCCAATGGTGTCAGCCGCTAAGATTGCTGGCCTTGGGGGTGCATTTGTATTGTCAGGAGGAATGGGAGCAATGGGAGGAATGGGTGGGGTAGGCGGGGTGGGAAACACAAAGATGAATTCCCTTGGAGGTTGCTCTGCTATGGGCGCGAACACCAATCAACACTCACGGGGCTGCGTGGGGATGGGAAATAAGAGAGATGCTTATGTAAGTGGGGAGATAGAGGAGGTGGTGGAACTGGTAGAGGAAGAGGAGGAGGGGACAGAGGAGGATGAGGAAGAGGAGGAGGGAGAGGAGGGGGCAGTGGAGGATGAGGAAGTGGAGGAGGGAGGGGAGGGGGCAGTGGAGGATGAGGAAGAGGAGGAGGTAGAGGAGGAAAGTGAGGAGGAGAGAGAGGAGGAGGAGGAAAGCGAGGAGGAGAGAGAGGAGGAGGAGGAAAGCGAGGGAGAGGAGGAAGAAGGGGAAGGAGATGAGGAGGAAGAGGAGGAGGAAGAGGAGGAGGAGGAAGAGGAGGAGGAAGAGGGAACCTAGGGGTGAGGCCACAGAGCAGGGAACTGGCTTTGAGAGGAATGGCACCAAGAGCACTAAAAGCAACAACAGCAGCAACCATCGTGGGAGGATGGCCCCTGGAGCAGTGGCGTCTGCAGCAGCGATGCTGTCCCGCCTGAGAGGGTCTGTTAAGATGGGTCAGAGCTTCAGGCGCCGCCAGTTCCTGTCATCCAAACCCAAAGCAGCACCAGCAGAGGGAGAAGGAACTGTAGCAGAAGGAGAAGGGTGGGCAGCAGAATGGGGAGAGGGAGGAGGAGCAGGTGTAGGGAGCGTGGTTGCTGGGAGCAACAGTGCGGAGGGCAATGGTGGTAAGGGAGGGGACGTAAAGGCAGCGAACCAGGGGACAGGTCACTTGTATGAGGGCAATGCTGGTGTGAACGCATGGGGGCAGGGCATCACTGGGGACGAGGAGGGCAGCAGCAGCAGCTATGCAATGCCCGTTACAAGCATGGGTCACACGATGTTTGAACCGTTTAGTGACCTGCATGCAGCACCGGCCTTCCCAGACCACCTGGACTTGAACACAGGGATGGAGGAGGCTGCTTGCAATGAAGATTCTCACAATAAGCGCTGCAGCATTGTCAGTAGCCTCCTCATGCGGAAGAGTGGTAGTGGGGGAGGGCATGGCATGCACCATGACTTTCGGAAGAGCGGGGAGATCTACAGTGCACAGCATGTTATAAGCAGTTTCGGTGGAGGGAAGAGTGGAGAGCTCTTTTACCAGAGAAGCAGCAGCCACAGCAGCCATAGCAGCCATAGCAGCCATAGCGGGCATTATGGTCACAGCAGCAGCAATGGTGGGAATGGTGGTGCAGAGAAGAAGGGTTCTTCCTCTCCATTTATGGGAGGCCGCTTGGTTCGCAGCAACAGCTTTGGGAGCTTTCCCCTGGGCCTGGGTGGTGGTGGTGGTGGAAGCGGGGTCAGCAAGAATGGTAACGGCACGAGCAGCAAGGGCACAGAGGCCACAGAGGACAGTGAGATGGGGAGTCTCGGTAGCAGTGGAGCAAAGAAGACCCCTGGATCTCCCTTCTTAGGAGCGTCTCTCAGTTTCAAGACGGGCAGCAGCCAAAAGAGCAGCAACCAGAAGGGCAGTGGCAGCAGCAGCAATGGTGGCACGGGCAGTGGCAGTAGAGGGTTGGGATCTCCTAGGCTATGGAGCTCACCTGTGCTGGGACTCCGAAGGCATGATGCAAGGGGTGTTTCTGCAGGCATGGAGTCGGGGGCAATGGCTACTGCAGAGGAATTTAGTGCATGGATTGACATGAAGAATGATGCTGAATACGGTGCGTATGAGCCAGGGGATGCAGGACGAGCAGGGAGAAAGAAAGGGTTTAGTCTGAAGAGTGTTCTTTCGACGAAGACAACTTGACGAGGGCGTCATGGAGAATACGTCTGGAACATAAGAGCATAGTTTTGATAGTCTCCGCCTAACTGTTTTAGGGCATATGCTGATTAACTAGTGTAGTGATTCTCTCGTGAAGGGTAGTAGATCGATCATGGCTGATAGGGATGTTAGGGGTTCAAACCTGTGTTCTGATTTGCATCTAGTGTAACAGAATAAGTCGTGCACTTCACTGCCCAGCCAATATTTTTAGCACCATACACTTCTCTTTAATACCATACATGTTATGAGTTGTAAAAGAGAGTGCGCAGGTAAACGAATAACGAGACTGTGACTGAATGAATCTGAGAATACAATGAATGCGAGAACTAATGTAGGCTAGCCTAGCTAGGAGGAAACCTCGGACAGGCGAGGTTGGGTGCAGGTTTGGCGATGGGAATGCCGAAGGCGACGCGAGGAGCTTCGGCAGCGTGGAAATCGCCCGATCGTGCGAACTCCGAAAATCGGGTTGTACGCGCAGCAGTCAACCCCGATAAGGAATTCGAGAAAATTCCTTACACCACCCCCCCCCTTAAGAAAGGCGGTCAATATCCGAAACACGCTTGCGTGCCAAATAATCACCAACAAGTGGCGAGGCGTCGAGCGAGGCGGATGGCACCCACGTGTCGTCCTCACTGGTGCGATCAGTCCAGCGGATTAAGAAATCCACGTGTCGGCCAGCTGCGTCAAGTCGAACCCGATGAGCGAGAATCTTCGATGGATCGAGTGTCGGCTCCGGGACAGGTCGAGCTGTCGGGACGGCTTGCCGACGTGCGATGTCGGTCGTGGCTGGCACGAACTTGCGAAGCAGGCTGACGTGGAAGGCGTCATGAATTCGCCAGTCGTCCGAAAGTAACAGCTTCGCGGTGACAGGTGTCACCATCTTGATAATCTTGAACGGTCCGCAAAATCGGGGCCGTAGCTTCGATGGGCCGGGCAGATGCAGGTTCTTCGTGTCGAGGAGCACTAATTGCCCAGTGGTCAAGACGAGTTCCCGGCGTAGGAGGTCGGTGTACTTGCGGGAAGTAATATTCGCTTTGCGAATTGCGTCTGCTGCTTTCTCGCGGATGTGCTGAAGTTCCGTCACAAAAGTTTGTGATCGCGGGACCGGGTTGTCGAGCGAAGTTGCCGTGGGCACCGTCGGATCCATCCCGTAATTCAAGAAGAACGGGGAGTGATTAGTCGTGCTCGATGGTGCGTTGTTGAAGGCAAACTCCAACATGGCGAGGGAATCTTCCCATCGTGCGGGGTCGGGGCAGTTTGTCCGTATCAGCTGCTCCATCGTCTGGTTGGTTCGCTCGGTTTGTCCGTCCGTCTGTGGGTGGTAGGCCGATGAGAACTGTAGCTTCGTGCCGTACTGCGCCCATGTTTCCTTCCAAAACTTGGATGTAAACTTCGGGTCCCGGTCGGTGATGATCGCCGAAGGGATGCCGTGTAGTCGCACGACCGTTGAGATGAAGAGGCGCGCAGTTTCTTCGGCTGTGATCGTCGTTCGGCATGGTGCGAAGTGCGCCATTTTCGTGAAGCGATCGACAACGACGAGGACAGCGTCGTTGCCGGACGGCCCAGCTGGCATCCCCGTGACGAAATCCATCGTCACCTGTTGCCACGGTCGTTCGGGTGGCTCGAGGGGTTGCAGCAGCCCAGCTGGTCGCTGACGTGTCGATTTCATGGCTTGGCACACCCTGCATGAGGACACATAACGCTGCACGTCGTTAGAGGAATCGGGCCAGTAATATTGACGGTGCAGTAATTTCTGGGTTTTATCAACCCCGAAGTGTCCGGAGTAGTTCGAATCGTGGACCTCCTGGATGAGGAGTTCACGCAGCAGCCGGTAAGCGGGGACCCAAATCCTGTCGGTGCCGGCTTTTAGGTAATAATCCCCCTTCTGCGTCGTGGCCTGCTGATGATTTCCTGTCGTGAAGAACGGGTCCGTAGTGTAGCCGTGGGTGAATAGTCCTGTAAGTAGCGGGTTCGAATGGGTGATCAGTACAGCAGCGGATTGTACGGTCGGTCTGGTCAGGGCGTCGGCGATGTTATTCGCCCCTTTCTTGTACGTGATGCGGTAGGTGAAGTGGCTTTCCATGTAATCCAGCCACCGAATTTGTCGCGGGTTGAGGTTCGGTTGAGCTCGCAGGTACTGTAGGGACTTGTGGTCCGTGCGCACAGTGACGTCGGCGCCCACCAGGTAGCATCGCCACAGTTTAAACGCGTGGATTATGGCGAGCATCTCCTTGTCGTGGATCGGGTAGTTGCGTTCGGCAGCTTGCAGCTTGCGTGATTCGTAGGCGATCGGCTGCAGCCCGTTCCCGAAATCCTGGAGAAGCACTGCTCCGATGGCGAAATCAGAGGCGTCGGTTACGACTTCGAACGGCTTCGATGGGTCGGCGATGCGCAGCACAGGAGGGGAAACGAGAAAATTCTTGAGCTCCTGGAAAGCCGCCTCTGCTGCCTCCCCCCACACGAAATTCTTGTCCTTGTGCAGCAGGTCGGTCAGCGGGCCGGTTATCCCCGCCATATTCGGGATAAACCGCCGGACGTAATTCACGAACCCCAAAAAACTCTGGAGCTCCGTGACATTAGTCGGGGCCTTCCACTCCTGTATGGTTTTAATCTTCGCCGGGTCGATTTTGATGCCGTCGCGGGAGATGACGTGCCCTAAAAACTCCAACTCCTGCTTAAAAAACTCGCACTTAGAGCCCTTGGTGATGAGGCGGTTCTCCTGCAACCGTTTAAATACTGCGTCCAGGTCGCGGAGATGCTGCTCCCGTGTCTTGCTAAAAATCAGGATATCGTCCAAATAGACGATGACACATCGGTCTAGAAGATCGCGAAAAACCCTGTTCATGGTCAGTTGGAATGTCGAAGGCGCGTTCGTGAGGCCGAAAGGCATCACTGTAAATTCGTAACTCCCGTAGCGTGTACGAAACACGATCTTGTGACAGTCGTCGGCGAAGACCCGAATCTGGTGGTAACCGCCACGTAAGTCGATTTTCGAGAAGTAGCGAGCGCCGCGAAGTTGATCGAGAAGGTCGTCGGTGCGTGGGATTGGGTAGCGAGATTTGACGGTCACTCGGTTCAACGCGCGATAATCGATGCACATGCGAAGCCCGCCGTCCTTCTTTGGAGTGAACAGAATCGGTGCCGCGAACGGGGAGGTGCTCGGCCGAATGAAGCCTTTCTCCAACAGTGCAACAATTTGTCGGCGTAGTTCCTCGAGTTCCGGCTGGGTCAACCGCCACTGTGTCCGAACAGTAGGTTGCGCGCCAGGTTCCAGCTGGATTTTATGGTCTTCGGGTCTTTCGGGTGGCAGCCCAGGTGGCAAATCGTCCGGGAAAATGTCGGGGTACCGTCGAATTAGCTCCGCTAAATCCGGAGGAACAGCTGCACACAGCTTTTCGATGTCCTTTCCGTCGGTGTCGACTGCCAACTCGCGCAAGCAGACGGCGAACAGCTGCGCACCCCTGTTGAAGTGGTGGGCGATGGTGATGGCTTTGACGCACGGGGCTTGTATGTAGTCAGGTGTCCATGCAGGCAACTTAATTAGCCCCTCGTGCTTGCTGACGCAGCACGCTCCCGTTGTCCAGTCGATGACGGGGTTGTGTCGTCGCAGCCAATCGCGTCCCAGCAGCACGTCGCAGCCATCCAGCGTCGTCGCGAGGAACTTCATGCTGAAGCCGAAATCTTCGCCGCACTCGATCCGCACCGTCCGTGTTTCTTCCGTTATCGCCAGAGGCGTCCCATCCACGAGTCGTGCGTCGATTTCGGGCAGACACCTGTCAAGTTGCATGTTGCATTTTTTTGCGCTCGCCAAGTTGAAGAGGCTGGCCCCTCCATCGACGAACATTTTCAAATGATGTTTCCCCACCTTGCCAGCGACCAGCACAGGGTGATCCACATGATTATCCCCGTTATTCGGCCGAGTGCGATCGATTGCATGAATCGGAACCACGACTCGGTGGGGATGGTGGTGTTCGGGCGACGGAGCACAGTCAGTAAAGGGCCCGCTACTTACTGACTCTTCCCATTTCCCTGCTCCTTCCTGTCGTTCTCTGTCAGCGGCATTTTCTCCTTGCATTCGTTCTTCCAGTGACCCACCTTCCCACACCGGAAACACTGACCCTTAGGAGGGCGGTCGGGTGTATGGACGGCGTTGATTGTGGCCCGATGGGTCTGGCCACGAAAACCTCTCCCATCCCTGGAAGCTGTTCTCGCGTACTGCATCAGCGCATCCGTTGACTCTGCCACGCGTACTGCTTCGAGGAACGATGTCGGGCGGCTGCGGCGAACTTCGAACTGTATCTCGTACTTAAGGCCGCTCACGTATTTATCCAACCGCTCAGCTTCCGACATGTCATCGATTTGGTCGGCGAAGCCCATAAATGACGCCGTGTAGTCTTGGACAGATCCCATCTGCGACCATGCACGCAGCTTCATGCGAGCTTGCTCCGAGGCGGATACGTGCTCGAAGCGATTCCGTAAGGCTGCGCCCCACTCCTTCCATGTGCGTATCTTGGTCACACCGAAGATCGGTTCTGCAACTTGATTAACCACTGTAGAGGTCCCGTCTGCCGCATGTGTCACACCTGTCGACGTCCCTGTTTCCAAGGTCCGGCGCCACCATTCAAGTGCTGCACCTCGAAGAAGCGAGACTGCGTAATTAATGCGCGTGGCATCGTCATTAACTCCGGCTGCAGTGAAGAAGACTTCAACCCCGAACAGCCACCCCTTCACTGTAGTCGTCTTGTCCGTAGGATTAAACGGGGGCGGGTTGACGGGCTTGATTTTGATCGTCGTGACTGCAACTGGTGCTGCTGCCGCTCGCTGCCTATCTTCTTCTTCGAAGTCACGTGTGAGCTCGTCCAGAGGATTGCCCATCACTTGGCTGTTGCCCTCGCCTTCGTCCACAGGCGACGTCTGACGCGCTTCACCTCGCGTCCGGCGTAGCTCGGCGTTTTCCTCCTTCAGCGTTGTCACTTCCGCTTGCAGCGATTCCATACCCTTCGCCATTTCTGCCACTTGCGCCATCAGTCGGTTAACAGCCTCCTGATCCATGTGTCTAGCACTACGTCTGGTGGGCAGTTGGGTACCCGTGGCCACCCGGCAAGTGAAAACACGAACTATCGGAGTCGGGCAGGATTGAATTAACAACCTCTGCAGCCAACCGTCGTGTAGTCACTAAACCAACCACACCCTATGCCACCAAAACTACCCTCGAAAAGCGGGGTGAACTAGGAAAGTAGCTCTGATACCAGGTGTTATGAGTTGTAAAAGAGAGTGCGCAGGTAAACGAATAACGAGACTGTGACTGAATGAATCTGAGAATACAATGAATGCGAGAACTAATGTAGGCTAGCCTAGCTAGGAGGAAACCTCGGACAGGCGAGGTTGGGTGCAGGTTTGGCGATGGGAATGCCGAAGGCGACGCGAGGAGCTTCGGCAGCGTGGAAATCGCCCGATCGTGCGAACTCCGAAAATCGGGTTGTACGCGCAGCAGTCAACCCCGATAAGGAATTCGAGAAAATTCCTTACAATACATGCTTGGGCTCGGTATGCTCCGCAAGATGCATATAGTATGACGTTGCGCACTCTGGCAGATTTGTCAAGCTTCACCTCTTCGAACCTCTACTCACCTGCCTCAACCTCAAAATTCACACATACAACAGTGACTCTCCCTCAAGCAGTAATTGTGGATGGTGTATCCACATTGTGATCATTTTGGAGGTGCTTAGAATTGCTAGTTGGTTGCTTTGGAATGTTTAGACGAACAATTGTTTATGTTTTGACGTTTATCGATTTCGGGTACAAGGGTGAGCAGGAAACTTCTTGGTGACCAAGCTTGAGGGTGGCAGCAATGCTCGAGTGTATCGAGGGAAAGCATTTCGCGGATTTACGGATACAGTAGTCATAAGTTGCCACTTGGTGGTTCTCAACCGTAAGGGGCTCTAGAAGCACCGATCTCATATGGCTCAAGCTTGTGCCACGTGCTCGCTATACCCAGCCGACGCGGAAGACTTGACAAATTACCCGAATTTAACTAGGTATTTTTTTCAAGAATTTTGCTATGTATTACTGGTCAGATTTTTCTAGACCAAGCTTCTCATAAGAATATGCACCTGTTAAACTGTATTATGCTTGTAGGCTGTAGTGGGGTAGCCAATATGGGGTACAACCCCAACTAGGGTTTCATATTTGTACCCAAAACTTCTGCTAGTTCATCATTCTTGCCTAGTTCTTCTGACATGGTATTCAGAGCAGGAGGTCCCTAGGACCTACCGACCGTTTTTTTTAAGGGCCCACCACCGCTCGCATGCGGTTACCACGCTACCCCGTGCCCTAGCCTCGTAGCGCCCTCGTTAGCGCCCTCGCGCGCCCCTCGTTAGCGCCCTCGCGCGCACCCTCGTTAGCGCCCTCGCGCGCCCCTTCGTTAGCGCCCTCGCGCGCCCCTTCGTTAGCGCCCTCGCGCGCCCCTTGCTAGCGCCCTCGCGCGCCCCTCACTAGCGCCCTCGCGCGCCCCTCGCCGAGCCGCCCGCTCGCAGCCCGCCCGCCCGCTCGCTGCCCGCTTCGCGGCCCGCTCGCTACGCAGCCCGCCCGCCCGCTCGCTGCCCGCTTCGCGGCCCGCTCGCTACGCAGCCCGCCCGCCCGCTCGCTGCCCGCTTCGCGGCCCGCCCACTTCGCAGCCCGCCCGCCCGCTAGCTGCCCACTTCGCGGCCCGCCCGCATCGCAGCCCGCTCGCCCCGCTGCCCGCTTCGCAGCCCGCCCGCCCGCCCGCTGCCCGCTTCGCGGCCCGCCCGCCTCGCAGCGTCGCCCGCCCGCCGTGCTGCCCGCTTGCAGCGCCGCCTGCCCGCCGCGCTGCCCGCTTCCCGGCCCGTCCGCCGAGCTGCCCGCTCGCAGCGTCGCCCTCCCGTCGCGCTGACCGCTTGCAGCGCCGCCTGCCCGTAGCGCCAGCCTCGCCCGCTGCTCTCTATCCGTGCACAGTCGCCTTCCCCTGCTGCGGCAGCTTGCGTTACTCTGTCACACTGTCGCTATGGCTTCCATCCGCGTACTGTCGTTCGATGCTGAGGGCCGCCCTGTGCGGTTCACCGCTTGGCTAGATGACCTGCAGCTGTTCCTCCTGAGCGATAGCAAGGAGCATGTGTCGCTCTATGATTACGCGTCTGGTGCTGCGCCTGCCCCTCCTGCCACAGCTGAGCTTAGTGTTCGTTCCCACTGGCAGACTCGTGACGCAGCTGCTCGCCTAGCCATTCGCAGTCACCTGCCGTTAGCTGAGCTAGAGCATTTTGGCGACTGCAAATCCGCTAAGGCCCTGTACGACGCTGTCGTCGCTCGCTACTCCTCGCCTGCCACAGCCGAGCTTAGCCGCCTCATGCTGCCGTACCTGTTCCCCGATCTGTCCACCTTTACTACAGTCGCCGATCTTATCACCCACCTTCGCACTAGTGATGCTCGCCTGCGTGCCGCCCTTCCCACCGAGTTCTGCGCTAAGAACCCCCCTCCACTGTACTGGACACTCCACTTCATAGTCACCCGTCTCCCTGACACCCTCCGCTCAGTTCGAGACCACTTCCTTGCTCGCTGTCCCACTGAGCTCACAGTCGCCCTCCTAGAGGAGCACCTGCTCGCGGCCGAAAAGAGCATTGTAGCTGTCGGTGCTGCTCGTGGCGCTCCTCGCACCCCCATCTTTGAGGGGTGTTCTCCCTCTCCCCTCGCTCCCTCCTACGCTGCTGCTGCTGCTGTTGACTTCCTTGGTGCTGAGTCTGTTGGCGCTGCTTCTACTCCTGGTGGGAGGCGCCGCACCGGCAAGGGCAAGGGGGGCAAAAGTGGTGGTGGTGGCGCTGGGGGGGGAGGAGGTGGGGGAGGTGGGGGGGGAGGCGGTGCTGGAGGGAGCGGTGGCGGGAGCGCTGGTGGGAGTGGGGTCGGTGGTGGAGACGGGGGCGGCGGAGGAAGCAGTGGCAGTAGTGGCGGCGGCGGCGGTGGCGGCGGTGGCGGTGGTGGCGGTGGTGGCGGTGGCGGTCGGAGCGGTGGTAGTGGTGGCGGCGGAGGTCGGAGTGGAGGCACTGGCTCGGGCCAGAGCTCCCAGCAGCAGCAGCGTCCCCAGACGACCCAGCAGCTTCGTGAGTGGCTTGCTCAGCGTGGGACGTCTGGGGGCAGTGCCCGCTGTTCTTATGTCATTCGCACAGGTGACCGCAAGGGACAGACGTGTGGGAGGTTCCACACCCCGTACCGCTGCTTCTCCCGCCTTGACGACGCTTGGCGTGAGGAGATGGGTGCGGATGTTGAGCGCCCCCGCTGGGCTGAGCTCATGAGGGCTGGTGTTGATGTCTTTGCTCTTGACTATGATGCTATTATTGCTGCCATGTATGCATTGACTGTTAGTGCCGAGGGAGACTGTTACTTGTGTGTGCCGCCTGACCCAGGTATAGAGCCTGCTGCCCTGGGTACTAGTGAGTCTGCTCTCTCTGGTATGGTGCCCCCTGTACTTGCTCCCCCCAGTGCTGTCCCGGCTGGTTTCGAGTCTGCTCTCTCAGGTACAGCACCCACACAGACTTCTCTCTCAGGTACCGCACCGGATGAGGCCTGTCACACCTTCACCCTTGACTCAGGTGCTTCCCGTTGCTTCTTTCGTGACAGTACTGAGCTCACACCGCTTCCTGCACCGGTCCCAGTCTCCTTGGCTGACCCCTCTGGGGGCCCAGTCCTTGCCCAGTCCACCACTGTCCTCCCTTGTCCGGCGGTTCCGTCTGGCTCGTTGTCGGGTTTCCACCTCCCCTCGTTCTCGACGAACCTGGTGAGCAACGCTGTCCTCCAGGATCAGTGGGTTGACACCTTTACCCCTGGCGGACAGCGTGTGGCGATCTGCACGTGCTCCAGGACCGGCCGTCACCTGGCTACGTTCACCCGTCGGCCGGGGTCGAGTCTCTACACACTGACCACTGCGTCTCCCCAGGTAGCTGCTGTCGGTCAGGTGTCTGCGTCAGGTCTGGTGGCCCACGCCTGTGAGTGTCGTTCCCTGTCGCACCAGACTCTTCTCTGGCACCATCGCCTGGGTCACCCCTCCTTGCCACGCCTTCGTGGCATGCACCGTCGCCTCCTTGTGTCCGGTCTTCCCAGGTCCCTCCCTCCCCTCCCTGCCTCGCCTGCGCCGCCTTGCCTTCCTTGCGTCGAGGGGCGGCAGCGCGCCGCTCCTCACTCCTCCTCGTTCCCCCCGACAGAGGCTCCTCTGGAGACCCTCCACCTGGACGTGTGGGGCCCAGCCCGCGTTCGTGGTCAGGGCGGTGAGCGGTACTTTTTGCTGGTTGTCGACGACTACTCGCGTTACACCACGGTCTTCCCCTTGCGCACCAAGGGTGAGGTCCCTGCTGTTCTGATCCCTTGGATCCGCACGGTTCGTCTCCAGCTCCGCCGCCGTTTCCGGACGGATCTTCCTGTCCTGCGTCTGCACTCTGACAGAGGTGGAGAGTTTTCCTCCGATCTCTTGAGGACCTTCTGTCAGGCGGAGGGCATCGAGCAGACCTTCACGCTTCCGGACTCCCCACAGCAGAATGGGGTTGCTGAGCGTCGCATTGGCCTGGTCATGGAGGTCGCTCGTACCTCCTTGGTCCACGCGGCGGCTCCCCATTTTCTGTGGCCGTTTGCTGTCCGGTACGCCGCGCATCAGCTCAACCTCTGGCCCCGTGTCTCCTTGCCGGAGACCTCGCCCACACTGCGTTGGACGGGGGAGGTTGGCGATGCGTCGCGCTTCCGGGTGTGGGGTGCTCGTGCCCTTGTCCGCGATACGTCTGCGGACAAGCTCTCCTCCCGCACGCTTCCCTGTGTCTTCCTTGGCTTTGTCCCTGACGCGCCTGGCTGGCAGTTTTACCACCCCACCTCGCGCCGGGTCTTCGCCTCTCAGGATGTCACCTTTGACGAGTCGGTCCCTTTTTACCGTCTCTTCCCCTACCGCACTGCCCCCCTCCCTCCCCCGCCGCTTTTCCTTGCTCCTGGTCCCCCTCCGGTAGACCCCCTTCCCC